TCATCACCGATGAGTCAAATTTTCCGGTTAAATCAGAGTATCATAACGCTCACTTTTATGATTTACAGTGACCATGGAAAGCCTTACTGATATGCTAACTGGTCATGCCAACACAAATAATATTCAAATTTCTAAAACTGTATAAAGTGCCCTCCCTCCTCCGAGCAACGTGTAGCTCATAGCGCGCGATCAACCGCAATCGTCCCTATTTTAGGGTCGCTGATGAAGACTAACCTGGACCACTTGCTTTTCTTGAAGTGGTTTGAACCTTCCAATAGCAGAGATGGATTTTAAACTTTTTTAAGGAAGAGATTTTATTTTCCTCACCCTTTTTCGTTTGTTTTCAAATTCAATTTTGAAACTACATAAGCCCCAATTTTAAAAATAATTTTGTTTGGGTTTACCTCCATTGGGGGGGGGGCATCCCCCGGAAAGGTTCTGAATGTGACCTTGCTATTTGAGAACGATGGTGTAGAGGACAACTCTTTTCGAGGGGTTTCATCACTCTTTCTAGGCGGCGATTCAATCTTTTCCGGAGTATTTGGTAAATTGTGTAAAACTGCCACGGGGAGAAAGCTTTGAGAAATTCTAAACTCTTTTACATCACTACACGTGTTTAATGGAAAGAGGCATATCACCAACGGTGTACTGTGTGGGTGTGTGGTTGCGTGTATATGTGTGTGTGGGGGGGGGCCCAACGTTAACAAGCTCACCCACACATGTTCGCAGAAATTAAAATGAAAATCAGGATAGCCTAACGTATGGCAGAGCCATAAAGTATGGGGGAAATGATTTTCGAAAGTGACTGTAGAATTACGGTGTGACCGATTGCACTAATTGCAGTGGTGCAGCTATGAGAAATGATTTATATTATTGTTTATCCTTTGACGGTATGAAAGCGGGGGTGGTGACATGTGTGCCCCCCCACACACACCCACCCATATGTTTTGTACACAGTTGTCAATCAGGGACCCTCTGTCAATCGGGGACCTTATTGTCCTCTATTGTTCAGGGTCCCCAATTGAATGCAGAAACAAACTCGCAACCACACGAACTGTCAGTCAGTCTTCATCTCAATCTGCACCAGCGAGATTTCAGGCCTCCCTTGGACGGTATCGTCGAAACGTCATAAAAGGATACTTGCGGAATATGTAGTAATGGGAAAGTTGCATGAGGGCGCACTAAATGTTTCATGACCAGCAAATGCTGAGCTTATGGTCCCAAAGTGTGTACTATTCTTAATACAGCATACCCTAAAATAGCTGGGGAGTGTGAAATCTGACATTCTCTCTTGGACGGTATCGTCGAAACGTCATAAAAGGATACTTGCGAAATATGTAGTAATGGGAAAGTTGCGTGAGGGCGAACTAAATGTTTCATGACCAGCAAATGCTGAGCTTATGGTCCCTAAATGTGTACTAATCTTAATACAGCATACCCTAAAATAGCCGGGGAGTGTGCAATCTGACATTTTTCCGGGTATTACTGCAGTGCATTTTTTTCAAGAGTTGAGCTCTTAAGAATTTGTAAAGTAACTCTTTGCAGTCATTTTGACTCCAATTTTGCGAAAATCGAACTTACCCTTTTTGCGCAGCGCGCAATTTTTTTTCGAGACTGGTCAGTCAAACTGTATTCTTTTTCCACTGCGGTGCTCAATGCAAGCGGGCTCAAGCACATGTAGCCTTAACTTCAAAATGACCGTATAAAACCATTTGTCTGATTGAATTCAAACTCTTCCATTTGTTAATTTGATTTTAATGATAAGGAGTTTCTTTACTTGAATGCCAAATTTTTCCAGTTGTGACAGTGGGCCAAAATAACCCGGCTCAACAATCATATGAAGATTGTGGATGAGCCAAGTAAGTGCATCGACATGTGAACATAAAAAAGGATCAGCTAACGACTTTAACTTCCCTAATTATGACGTCGACGGTCGATGACTGATTGTCTTGGGGCTGGCATTGATCGTGTCTTGGTATAATGGTATCATTCCAGATCCTGTAAGGATGAACATTTTCCAGTTTTTCCTGAGAAACACAGTTCTATTTCCCATGCACAGTCATGTTCCACATCAGGCGATTCCCTTTGGGAGAAGTTATGAACAAACTGATGTTAATGACTGAGAGTTCCGTATGTAAATTCCAAATTCAGAGGAAATACATATCTTTAAAAAAACAATCAAATGCTAAACTAACACACACAAAACCAAATATTAAATTACATTAATTTAACGTTAATATTACTGTCCGTGTAAAACAAAAAATCATAAAACGGTATCCAGGTAAATATGATGCATAACACTCAATGATACAAAATTATTGGCTTGAGAAGATGTTTGTATCCTTATTGCATTTTTTCATTAAACCAATTTCTGTAAAAAAAAACTCAACATAGGGATCTAAATTTGTTCACTAAAAGGACGACCGTCAAATCTTTAGGTCTGATTAATTCACTAGAATAATAACTTCCTGGAAAGACGGCTATAAGGATAAGCAACAAATTCTAGAGAGTTTCTCAGACATTAAGACTGACCGCAATATAATTTTAAATTAATATATACAAATATCAGGTATGTACCAACTCGTGCACGCTGGAACACTTTGTTGCAGATGATAATGTTCACTAGCAAGCTTTGGCCAAGGGTGAAGCCAAAACTGGGTTTTTGCAGAGCGGAGGGGGGGGAATATGGAAATGTTTATGTAAGCTTTTATGACTTTTCTGAGGGGTGAGGCTTCCGATTCTGGGACATTTTCAAGCTATTGAAAGGAAGGGTTATTATGTGCTACACAAGTACACTCCGGGAACCAGTCAGAGAGGCACGTTGTATGCAACACACATCGCGTGACATTTTGGTCACCGACCATGCGTGACCTGGTTTTGCTCTGCAATTATTTTACGGGCTTAACGGTTTTCCACGCCAATCAATCCCGTGGAATGTGTCCCAATGGCATGAAGCGTGGAGTTATTTGGTTGAACCATGGAGGAACTTTTATTCGTCCACAGTTGAACATTGGATAACATTTTGCAGCGGCGATGTTAGGCTATTTTGATTCGAGACAGAATTGTATAAAAGTTGTCCAAAACCATGCATTTATGAACGATGTGCGAGTATCATTCGGGATAAATCTTTTTATGACGCATTGGCGGACTGGGAGGCAAATGGGACAAGCCCCCTTTCCTAGGAAGATTTTTCTTTAACCTTTTTTTTTTTTATATTAAGAAAACGATCACTTCATTCCTCCATTCCCTCAAGACTTGTAAAACAAGCCTCAGAATGTAGCCCCAGACCCTGACAAGCCCGGGCAGATTGCACTCCCGATGACATCTCCACTGTTCAGCCCTCTCCCCAACATGAATACCTCTTCCGGAACATTTCTGGTACTCCGTGCGCTTACCGCGCGCGTCCCGGCCCAATGCGCAAGATAAATCCACAAAATAGCTTTCAATAGCGCCATCAATAGTTTATGGTCCTGCATCATGCGTTGTGTGGGAATAAATATTAAAAAATGGTTTCAGTCTTGAACCGAGAATAAACCCTTTCGACGTTCGCAATACAATATTTGGATGACAAACATGCAATGCATTTTATGCACAACCCTATGGGAGAAGTGTATACCATACAAAACGTTAATCTGTTTCCATTTTATTTCATGCTCCAATTCAAGCCATCCTCTTCTGACACAGTGTTCATTATTGATTTGGGACGAAGATATTTACAAACTTCGAAGTGTAAAGCTTGAAAAGGAACATTCGGAGAATCCCTCCCGAGAACACCACTTTTTGTCATGGACCGAGCTTTGACTAGGATTGTGGATATTAATGTACTTAATATTGTCCAATCAAAATCACGATTTGCAGCTCATTCATCCTGCTTTGACCAATCACGTTCATTTTCAGTCTGTAGAGTGACCTGTGCCCTTAAAAAGACTATTAAGGGGGATTTCTTTTTCTTACAAACAATTGAAAACTTTGTTTGAAAATGTCTCTGGTATAATGTGATAATACGCACGCATCTTTGAGTTGATGGGAAGATACATAAATACATAAAAAATATTTAGTACAAAACTGTAAATTGATTTCTGAACCATAGGGTTGTGCATAAAATGCATGCATTGCTTGTTAGTCATCCAAACCCGTAATGCATTGCGAACGTCGAAAAGGTTTATTAAAGAAGGGCGAATAGTATGTGAGATGGTGAAGCCGTGTTTGACTTTGCACCGCTCTGTCACACACATTTATTTCCTCCCATGGCAGAAATAATAATAATAAGACAAGTCTAAAAGACATGTATATGCCAGAAGAGGTGGCAACACCTTAAACGCAAAACTTGTGTTAGGCATGCCCTTAAACAAAACATACATACATATTACTATGAGAAACCACAAATAATTGTAGCTCTAAGCAATCATAGAGTAATTATTGAAGATGGACTCAAACTCAAGGCCAAAATAAATATGAACACATATATACATAATACGCCCAATCACAAATTCCATTAAAACAGAAACAATAGAGTGCTTCACAATAGTGCGCCTCCAAGAGTTTGCAACTCGTTGACCAATCAAAGGCTGAGTTCAGGCGGCTTGTCCTTGTATGCTCAGGAACAGCTCGATTGGTTGTTCGTGGGTCGGCCGCTCGAACACCGGGAACAAACAACCGGTTATTGCTGTTAGTTAGTGGCAAGCAACATGCAACATGGCGGCGTCCATGTACGTTATTCAAGAGTTAATGTTTGGATGGGCTGAATTCTTTCTATTTAAGCAGGACCATTCATTCCCGTGTTATGGAAAATAATTAATGTTAATTTTGCAAAACTTCCCATTGTCTCTAGCTTTGGAGGCCATCTCTCTACTTTTTGCAGCTGTTCAAAAATCAAAATTTCACGCGTTTTTCCGTGTGTTCCTGTAAAACCCTGACGAGGAGGTGGTGTGTGATCATGTTCCAAGAACAGTGTTCTTGGGTCGTGTCCCGCCATTTGAGCGCGAGAACAAGAAACCCGTGCCAAGAACAGGCCGCCCGAACTCGACCACAGTGCGCTAAATCTGTCGACCCAATGCGCGTTTGGAAAGGGTCGACCATGAGGTCGACCGATGTCACGCACTGTGCTTGGTCAACGCGTTCCAAACTCTTGGAGGCGCACTTTTGTGAATTGCCCGTGTTATGTAACTGCAACGTTCTAAGCAATACATAAAAACAAAAGATTTTACTCGACAAAAACACAATTTCGAATTCATTCTGCCCACACGTTAGCTGATACATGTAGGGGGGCAATGGACCATTAAAAACATTATGAGAGAAAGGCGAGTTTGGGGGACTTTTTCACTTCCCTTCTTCCCACAGTTAAAGCGTGCAAAATCACCCACAATTTAGCCTCACCCCTTAGAAAGGCCAGAAAAGGTCAAAAAGGAATCCCAAAACATTGGCCCCCCAAAAGAGCCTCCCCAAAAGTAGTTCTTGACCCACCTTTGCACACTTGTGTGCTCGTCAATATGCTGTACAGAAATCTTTGGGTATACCGTATCTGTTGACATGCACAATCTACAAGGATATTATAATATTTAGGCTCAGTTCTTTCCACACGGGGTTTAGATGAGTGTATCTAAGAAGGATTTGTGTTTTATTTTTATTTTCATGATAAATAATTACGTAAACAGCATGACGTGTACCATCTGGGAGTCAAAACTTGTACCGAATAAATTTCAGCCGACACCTTGTGAGCACTACCGCTTAATTTCAACAACGTAAAATGTATTCTACTAAACCATAGCAATGTCTTAAATGTTACATCCTCCGCAAACTGCTGCTCCTCGATTCGTCTCTATAGGCAATCGGTGAAGTGCGAAAGTTGGACCCTGAAAAAATGGGCTCGTTGGCCATTACACGCTTGACTTCCATCGCACCTCTTGTGTGACACTTATGTGAGCCTGGGAAGTCACCAAGGAAGGACGAGAGTTTGCGAGAGTCCGAATTTTGCAGAACACCGAAAGTGACCATATCACTGTCAATCCCGGCCACCCGCTCATTGGACGTTAAGAGGCTCCATGACAGTCTCGTCATTTGTGTCACTAGAGAGGACGAGAGGGAAGTGGTCTAAATGACGACGCGAGTACATTTCGGTCTGATTTTCTTAATCAGATTGCATTCCAAAATGCAAACAGAGAAGGACTCAATGCCAGTTTAAGAGACGGGAAATTTACTGCCATGCAAGCAAATGGGTTTTCTCTGTTCCGTGAAACTTGCTCCAAAATTGATGCTACGTACAGCATATTCGGGGGAAAAGGCCTAAGTTTGGAACTTTTCAGATGAACAACAGAGTAGAAAAGATGTGACACTTTTGCCTACCTCTGACCCATTCCAACTGCCTTGAGTCGACGATTTTGGTAAAAGAGATACCCACAAGCGAGTAACAACAGAACCAAGAGGAGAGCCGCTATTCCCAAACCAAAGATGTACCCCTTGGTTTCACTGTTGTCGCGTTGGCTCGCATCACATCTTGTAGCCGAATCGTTGGCTGGACTGTATCGTTCATTTTTGCTAACAGCATCTAGATCAGATTGGAAATGTATATATCAGTGTACAGTTATAATTATTGACCCACCTTGTGAAATATCCTAAGTAGAAGCGTTTGGGCACTCGGAGTTGATCTCCAATAAAATACATTTTGACGAAATAAACTGGTGCCGTGCGCGTTGCTTGATTAAGGCTGCATCTGAACCTGTTGTCTAGAGCTAGGTCTAGGTCTTCACTCCTTTGGAAATAAGCGGAGACGCGCAGACAATGAGCCACAAGCTTGACAAAGAGAGAGCGCAATTTTCCCAGCAACCGTGCTCCTTCGGTAGGAACTGCACTTCGTTGGTTCACAAACGGCAGTGAACTGACTTGAAGCTTTGCACGGTGGAGATAGACTGAAGAGAGGGCTTGCGGTAACAAAATGTGGGTAGCTCTCTTTTTAAAAGAGGTATGGTTCTGATAACCGTCGAGTGTGTACTCAACGGTTAGATCCGTGTGCTCTAGTCATCCTCAAACGTCGAGTTCACACTCAACGGTTCTTACCAGAACCATACCTCTTCCAAAAAAAGATCTATCCACATGACATGTTGCCACAAACCCTCTCTTCAGACAATGAAATGCATGCGTTGCAGCCGCATCGCTACCAACCGATGAGGGGGTGATTCTGCTCGAGGCGGGTAGACCTATAGCTGTTGCTCCGGAAGCCTGTTTGGGACGCTGCCACAGGCTTGACATAATGGACAAATCAATGTCTGATCACTGCCACAATGTGTAAAGCTCGAAGGCAACTCAGATTACAATGCGAGCTTAAATTAAATACCTGTAGTTACCCCCAAAAAGCACACTCTTGTATGGTTACATGGTCGGGGAAAAATGTGGAAAAGGCTGCCAAAGGAAGCTTCGGCCACTTCAACGGACCGAAGTCGGTTGGTTTTGGTCTTCAAATTTGTATTAGGAAACACTAATTCATGACAGCGTGAATAGTGAATTCTTGATAATCTTGGTGAAAACAGGACACTTTCCGACCCCCATGACAACCATGATGTGGCCATCAGAAACTTACCATTGGTTGTTATCTTGGAACTTGTGGTTGGGGATGTCTTTATCTTCTTGTCTAATTCCGAGCAAGTATCATTGACTAAGCAAGAAAAATTAAAATACTAATTTATATTTACACTGTTTAATTGGAGTTTTCAGGAAGGAGGTCGGAAATGAATCCAGATCTTACATCTGTCAGTGATGACCATGGCAACTCACTTTCACACAATTATTATCATAATTTAATTGCGATTGAAGACAGAATTGTACATCACATTTTGGGACGCGGTTATGATTTTTTCTTTACACGGTCTCTGGACCGGCCTCGCCAGGTGAGTCCGTATCATTTCTCAGGGTTGCAGGGCCCTTAGTCCGTCCTAAAGGTAAATAAATGCTTCAGTGGTTGTCCCCTAGCCTCTACAGCTCTGAAAAACCACGAAAAGTACATCACAGTACCGGGGGGGGGGTAATCCCAGACTATCCCGATTTGAGGGGGGGCCTCGCCACGCACCAGCCAAGCCACACCACCACAACAACACCCCCACCCAAAATAACACTTCAAAGACAGCCGAAAGAGGCCTCTGACAAGTTCCAGACAGCTGTCACTGATAAGAAACATTCCACTGTCTGCCCCCAGGCACCGTTTTGTAAACGATCCATTAGATTGTACACAAGGGGGCCACTTAGCACACAGCCTTATGGGAGTTGGCTGGAGGCTGGCTGGAAACCGGCTGGATTTTTAAATATTTTTTCTGGCTAGGGGAGGCCCTGGCTGTAAAGTGACTAAACCAGGTTTTTCAGCTTGTACAGGGGTAGGATATGATAAACAGTCGTTGCATTTGGACGAAAACAAAAATTACACATTAATTAGCTCTAATGGACTCGCCAAAAGAGGCCGCTCACTCTTCCCAGGGTGAGATAAGCTAGTTTATGGCAGGAAATGTAACTGGTCGTAAAGATTTTGCTGAGGAAAATGAACAAACAACGAAATCAACTTTGCAATACCAATGGCTCCGTAGTGACTTTTGTAAATCTGGAAAAAGGAAAGCCAGATAAGCCCTACGTAGTTTACTAAGTTTATGATCTAAAACCTTCTCTGGGGAACGTTTAGATGTAACAACCTCTACGTTGAAATAATACAGCCCAACAAGTTGAAACTTATTTCCATCATGATGACGCAATGATTTGTTTTTACACCGATTTGACTTATTGTCTCACCAGTTATTCGCAGATACCGTACAGTTTTGACGGGCTTGTAGAACCTACTAGCCCGGTAGGTGATGCGATACAGCCCTTGATCCCGACAGCGCGGGGAGGGGAACACAAGTACCGGACGCTGACCGGCTTTCCCCTGGATAAAAGGTGCCCCGTCTGAACTACGATCCTCCCATTCCCAGATGTGTTCTAGCTGTCTGCTTTCACCGTTTTCAAGGTCTGCCCAGACCTCGAAAAATCCACTGAAGTCACACTTTAGTTCGAAGGTTATACTCTCGCTCAGGCCCGGTGTGATCAGTTTGTTGTGCTCTGACAGGGAAAACACTGTCGAAATTGTACAAAATCAAACAGTCATGAGATGGGTCAGACAAAGATAGCCCCTCTCGTCTCCAAAAATGAGCTCTTAATCTGAAAGAAACAATCACCAAACCATGCAGCTTAAATTGAAACACAAATAACTATAACATTGATGTGAATTCCCCCCCCCAAAAATAAAACAACTCAACGGTAAGGGCAACAATCTACAGTGATAGAAGCCCCGGCACCGCGGAAGGGGGGTGCTTATCCCTCCTCAAAAATGATAGAAAAAGAAAGAAAACGCGATAAAAACAAAAAAGGAGGAAAGCGGAAGAAAATCACCAGTTTGCTTGAAAATACCTCAGAAGAGGTCTCTCTTCAACCCGTAATGATTTATCAGTTTGCTGCTAATGACTGCTTTACCCCCCCAGGAAAGTCCTGGCAGTGGCAGTGGGGGAGGGGGTGATCCTTCCTCCCCCCCGAAAAAAGGGGGATATCCCTCATGATTCCCCATCCCTCACCGTCATGGTCATTTTCAACTGATGAGGGGGTGCTCACAGCGGATAGCATTATGTAAATAAAACAGAGACCGTCACTAACCTGTGACGTTGCTCACCCAAATGTATGCCTTGGGTACGTTGCTTGCACTGTGTAGGGTGGCTTCGCCATCCGTGCTTGCCACGCACCAATAAAAGCCAGAATCGCCGGAAGCTACCCCTGTCAGTGTGGTTTCCAGCACGCATGCCGTTTCAGCGTCGCAGCATCTGGTGCTGGCCGTGGTGAAGTTACTTGAGGGACCGTCGATAGTGATCCTCTCTCCATTCTGTCTCTCGCAGTGGACTTGGAGTGAATCCGTCGGGTGCGCCCTCTTGGCTGTCCACTTCAGTTGGAAATATTCCCCGGGCGAGACACAGACCCCTGGCGGAGTAACGATGATAGCCGCTGCAGATGCTTCTGAATGAATACAAAACGGTGGGGAATGTGAAGGACGATCTAGAAGGAGTTTTGTCAGGGGAGAATGTCCATACGTGACCTTCTTTATGACCGTTCTGAGGGACGGGTAAAAGTTAGGGGCTTTTAACACACACTGGGAATGAAAGGAAATCAAAATAGTGCCCCAAAACACCTGTCTGTCTGAACAATCCCTTCTTTTAGGTGGGGGGGGGGCACTTTGGCTCCCGTCATTCAATATCGGATCTTCCCTTGGGAGATAAAACGTCAATGCAGTCTGCCATCGTACTATGCTTCTATACTACAAAAACACACACACATGAAAAAAAAAAGGAAAAGAAAGAAAATACATAACAAAACACCGGGAAAGTAGAGAGTCGAGCGGAGCGAATTGTCATTGGTTTCATGAACAGACACTTTGGCCCAATATCATAACTTTTTTTCAAATTTCTGTTTTGAGGCAAAATCAACTAGGTTATGCAATGCCTACAACTCAGGCCCGTAGGCTGGGGGGTCGGGGGTTCGAACGAACCCCCCCCCACGCTTACGAGTTTCGTTCGTTGGTGGTGTTTTGTGTTGTTTTTATATTTTTCAAATATATCTCAATTTCCGTAATACAAGCCGCCGCTTATACGTTGATTCTCACGTTGAAAATGTCCCTGCGATTTATACTCCGGACAGCTTACACAGCAACATTTGAAGAATGAAATCAGTCACTAAACGCCGCGCCGTGCCTCAGCGGCGTCAGCGCAGCCTAGCCCGGGCTGCCGCCGCGTCTAGCCACGCGTATAAGGATGAAAATGTCTGTGTAAAGCCTGAATGCTGACAATCCCAGGGGACCTTTAGATCCATTTCTACAATTTATACCATACCTGTGCCAAATTGTCCTGTGAGGCATACCAGGGACAGGCCTACGGTCACGGCGACGACCACTGGATTCATCGTTGCGCAAACCCAGGAGTAGCTACGAGTAAAACAAGGATACGGCAATGTCATTTAATACGCGGATGGCCTCAGTCACACAGTCACGAATTGTGATATACCGCACACAATGCCAAAAACGCAAGCACTGAATTCGGTTCTGTTATTTACAAAAGCGTCTTTTGAACCATGGGCTCAGTCTGTATCGGTATCGCGAACAATAGTTGCGCTGTTGTGCATAATTTGTGAGGCACAAAAATAGGATGGGTGGAATTCCCAGAGAAAAATACCCCTGTCTGTCGATTAAAAGCATCAATAACTAATGCAAGCAACAGGAAACTGTGAATTTCCAATGTCTTTTTTTTTAGGAAAACACCGAGAAATAAAGGGGTTTTTTGGAGGGGGATTAACACCGAGAATTTTTTGTCAATTATTATTTACTTTGGCATTAATTGGTACGTCACATGAGCAATGAAAATCTCCTATGAATGTAAATGATACCCAATTAAATACCAGTATTTTACACTTCCAATTTGATATCATTATCCATCGCATGCTGACTGGAATTTCCCCGCGGCTGTTTCAACATCTCCGGATTTCCCATCCCTCATGATTCACTTCAAATGAGGACGGGCGTGTGAAATGGTCTTACCTCGATCAGACATTTGTATTCTACTTTTCGTTTTCTTTTCTTTTCATTCTTTTCATTTAATTGACTGGGGATTTTTCTCCTTCGCAAGGGACGCGTTTGAGCTCAGTTTGCGTGTGGAGGATCAATAGCACAATAGTCAGGCAAAGTCAAAGCCTATGGTTGTTAACATGTCCTACACTTCACGTGACAGCACAGCGCACAGAGTAAGCAGACATACACCCTGTACGTGTACATTTTACACACACGAGAACACCCACTCAGCAACGGGGAACCCAGGGTATCATAATTAAGTGTCAATGGCGAGTGGCCAAGGCGGCGGAAGAGGGACAGGATGCAACAAGATGCAGAAGTTACAGCAAAATTGAGTTGCTGATAAAGACATATTTGGGATATTGAAATAGATTGTAAAGTGATTCAAAAATGTATAAAGATGAAAATCGCTTATGAAAACACTGAGCTGTCACAATATACTTTTCCTAAATTGAGTAGTTTCTGGCTAATCTCCTCAGAGTCAGTTTTGTAATGTGACCTAGATGCGACAAATGTATCATTTTACAATGCATGGGAAACCATACTCGACCGTCGCCAGAGACGTTTCTGTGGAAAGAATATCCTAACACTAATCAGAAAACTGACAATTTTTGATGAAAGCGATCACTTACGCTCGCTGTTTTAAAGCAAACTGGTGATTTGTATCCTTTACCTCCCTTTCTATCGTTTCTTTTGCCTTCTCTCTCCCCTTTTCCGTTTTTATTTAATTTTTCTATAGTTTTTTTCTCTTAAGCATGGGCGGGTCAAGTGCCCCCTCGCCCCCACGACATGCACACATGAAACCATACCCTGTCTACGTGCTTAGCTTTTGCCCCAGAGACAGGCATTTCCCTTACTATACCCTTCGACGTGGGCTTGCCCTGCTACGCACAGTTTCGAAGGACCCGGAGGGTCCCCTCAATCATGGAGAAGGGAAGAAGGTAAAACTTGACACCGTGCATAATACTGGCATGATCGTCCCTGAATAACACCAACAGAGAGATCCCTCACAGGCTGAGGAGACATTGTGTACCTTTTTTAAAGCTATAGATTTACAGTATGTTCCCAGCACGGCAATCGCGTTTCTGGCCACCGCCGAACGGTATGGGCGTGAGACAACGCGAGGAGACGGAATGGGCAAACGTGACAGTCCGTGATTGTCATGGGTGCCGGGCGAGATTTTTAAACTGTCAAAAAATGTTGCTCCGGCAGTCACGGTGCGGATGAGAAACCCCGTAGTAAAATGGGGTGAACGCAACAAAACGTGGCAGTACGTGATAGGCTGTAACAAAACTTGGAGACGGTTCGTCGTGGGACGGGAAACATGTGCATTCCCTGGCATCTCACGGTCCTTTCAAGTTTTGTCCCGTCTTGCACGCGTTTTGTCACGGTTCTTAAGGCAAGCTAGGATGTAAGGTAGCCGCTTCGTCGAGTTCAATCAAAGAACGTGTGACGGTTTACAGGCCCGGTGAGATGCGGCGCGTTGCGTTCAGCTAGGGTTCGATACGGGCCAGGCAAGGCAACTTCATGCAACATGATATAAATTACTCTCGAAAAGTCAACTGAAGGCGACTTCAATAGCCCTGTCTATCCTTTAGAAATGTGTAAACTATACAATGGTTTATCCCGGGCAGTACAATAGACCGTGAGAAAACTTAGAAGGACCCAACAAAACATGACTATGGAGGAAAAAAAATCTGCGTTTCGGGCAAACGTGATTGCCTTGGCCGCCGGGGAACATAATGTAAACCTAGCTAAAAAGGGCTGTTTAGCCTCCTGGATCATCTCTAAATTCACAATAAGGCTCATAAGGTTCCGCCTCTGAACCATGAAACGGCTGTACAATACAGACCTCCAGACTAGGCTGATAAGGTTTGACGATACCTCAGCTGATTCACAATTCCAGAAGTTAACACTCATCTACTCGAAAAGGAAACGACTCGGTGCTCCACTTGGAAATTTCAGGCTTCCCGATGAAACATAAAATCCGTGACCCTTTGACACGTCCACTGCTGAACATGATAGGTTGAACCCATACAGTGGGCCTGTAAATGACTCACTTTTACTCATATGGCTTCTTGTATCCAACATGTCCTACAGTACATTACCAAAACAATGATCAATGATCTTTGCTACTGTATATATTCACTTCTTAAAGAGGGAGACCATGACCATGAAATAAAGCCAAGATGTCAGAGAGCACGGAACTGAAACGCAAAGTGTTTACGGTCGGTAGAGTGATGCAAAGTCTCTACATCCCATGGATCAATGATTTGTGGGGTCTATAGCTTCCACGATTTCCACGATGCGTTTGAATAAAAAAAAATGGAAATACCCAGTCTTTTCAAGCCTGGGTTGGTACACAAACAACTCGGACACTTTAGTTAACAGTCCCTGAAGTGGCTGGTTTACCCAGAATTGGCCTGTGTCACAACAAAGCATCACCATCGTCACACACTGCGAATATACAAATTTTGACTGAGCGTTTCAGCAGCATGTTTATTGTCATTGTTAAACTGTAAAGCGTAAACGGTCGATTGCAGATCCCTCGATCTTTGCACAAATCGGTCAAATCTTATTGCATGATTTTTTTTTATAATTCTACCATTGGCCAGTCGCCCTTTCTTTCCTATTCACGGTTGTGACAGATTGTTTCCAAAGGGGAATGAAAGTTGAAAATTTCAATACCGCCGATAATGTAATAAAAATTGGCTCATAATGTAATACCAGCCGATAATGCAATAAAAATCGACCGATGATGTAATAACCCAAAACCACCCGATAATGTAATAACCGTAGATTTGCTTGTTTCTTAGAAGGATTTGGGGGACTTAGGTTTTCTTCGAATTTTCCCTGCAGATCCATCTTATTTTACCTTATTGCTTTTGAAGTGACAATTTTTCAATTCTTTTGTCATCAACTGAACATGGACATAATATTTTCCCAAGGTGTATATAACACTCAGATGAATTATGGTGGACCTCATTACATAAATCTTGTTCTTTTATTTAATGTTGAGGTGATTTCAATTAACATGCACAGTCACCCATTTGGCTTGATTGGCATTTAAGGTGCAAACTTCAAAGCTCTATGCATGTATCTCCTGGGTTGACATTTTGCAAATACATGTAGCTAGAAAGGGAAGTGTTGAGGATGAAGACTGACATCGTGTCATGATGACGTCATCAGTTGACAAATCACGTGACATGGAAGGTGCTTCCTTGAAAGCCCCATATATTTTCTTTAAAAAAGTGTCAAGTTGGGTAAAGACTTTACAGACATCGCAAAAGGGATATGTTATGGACGAAAACTGACCCACGTCACGATGACGTTATCAGTTAACTTGTCGCGTGACAGTAAAGATGTACCTTTTAACGCTCTGGATCTGCCGAAGTACATGTCTGACTTTGCAGGTAGAGCGAAACTGTTGTGTTATATACGAACACTAGCTCAATTTGACAATTTGATGAGGAGCTCATCACATCAGAATGAATATTATGCCCCCTAAGAAGTGTCCCCTAGCAGGTCAGCATCCGAACTCTCAGTTCAACAGTATATGCTGTGATTCACAGCCTCTAACCTCGAAAAAAGTGAAAAACATCCTTGCACATACCTGTCAAAATCTCGTTCTGGCTCATGGCAACTTCTTTTCCACCTAATTATATTCTCAATTGTTCTCATGTACGCAAAGTTTGTTTTTCAGCTTTCTGTAGTTTCTTGAGTATAAGAGAGATCTGCATAGAAAACTTGAAGAAAACCTAAGTCCCCCAAAGCCGCCTAAGAAACAAGCAAATCTACGCTTATTACATTATCGGCCTCCATGAAATTACAACATCGGCCGGTCTTAGGTTATTACATTATCGGCCGACTTATATTACATTTTGGGTCGCTTGGGTTACTCGGTCGATTGTTATTACAGTATCGGCCGGTATTACATTATCGGCCGATTTAGCCTATATCACATTATCGACCGGTATTACATTATTGACCGATTGTTACATTATTGGCCGTAAACTTATGTGTATGCTCTCGTCGGCTTTGGAGTCGCATTATACTGAACGAATGGGATACAAGCCATCGAGCTCTGCAATTGACCTTTCTCCGTTGTGTTTACATTGCACCTAGCAAAATCGGAACCTCCCTTACGGAGCTTACACATTCGCCGCCTGGGTCACCGCTCGTCTCGGTAGGCCCAGGGCAGTTTCATTGGTAGCCAACCAGCTGGGACCGAGAACTATCCTGCGCGTTGAGCTTCTGCATGAAACTACAGTATTTTCCTACTGTGGTATATTCTCGTATCGTGGTGCATATAAAACACGCTTTTGGACGCTGTTCAGTGAACTCCAGTCGGATAATTATGGAAGCTAAAGCAATTCTTAGCACTCCAAGTCAAATTCAAAAGAAAAGAAAAGCAGAACAGAAGAGGAAAACCGCACCAGTCGTCAGCTGGAAAGCAGAAATCACTGAATATATTAAGGAGAGGAAGAAGTCTTTGAAGACGAAGAAACAAATTACAACCGGCCCCTGTCATTGGCGATGGTAACACACTCCAAGTTTGACGGCTTGTATTCACTGCAAGAAATACACATGCAAGCTTCAAAAAAGCTGCCGCGTCAGATGTAAACAAACTCATCATTTCGCCGATACTGTAAAACATTAGGTTGGTTCCCTTTCACCCAAACCTTTAAAATATTCCGAATGAACAACCTATGGCATTGACTTTTAGGCGATTCCAGAGGTGTGCACCTTTAAGCATTACCCGGTTTCTTTTTCCCTGTCAGTCTTTTGCAGACCAATCAAATAAATTTATACCATTGATGAGCGCATTTACATGAAAATAAATTTGCTTTTGTTCCCTCGCTTCCATCGCCCCTGCTGTTACGCTAACAGGCCTCAAAATAAATCTGTAAGAGTGCTTAGTTTCTCTTCTAATTAGCGGACAAACCAAGATTCCCAACGGCACAAATTTAAGACACCCTGGAGACATTTCCTGGGGATGACCAACCTGAACAAAGATGAAAACGATCACCTGTGTCTAATGGCATCACAACATATGGCTTTCCCTGTGAAAAGAATGACTCTGCGATAAATGTTGAGGAATTGTAGTTTTCTTTGTCGGGAAAGCGGGAATTCCCAACTGATGGAGTCTGGGAGTGGGCGAACGGGAAACTGAGTCTGTTTATTTATTCTGCTTTCCAAAGTCAGTCGGAATCCGGGTATTGGTGTTACGCGTTTTCCTGCAAGCTTTCATTTTCACAATTCTTTACAATTCCATTCGCCTAGGTTGATGGTAAAGTGCGTGTGGATTCTCTGGATTGTTATAGAAACCTTTTCAAGTGTTCGAGAAAAATCTTCATTTATGACCATTACACAGATTCTCCAGTACAATCCAATGCATGCAAAATGTTCTCTTCAATTATTTCATTCTGCACTTTGCAAGTCTTAATAGATGCATACTTCGCATTTCACCTGTTTTATGCACACATGCGCAGAAAGGTCCGCTGATCTTAGATTTTAACCTATAGGTAATGCGAACACTGATTCACAATCAAATCTGGAATTCACTCTTTTGCTGATGTGATTATTTTCATATTATAAATTCCCCCAAACTTCAACCATGGTTACCTGGACTTTGACAATGCATCCGACACTGACACATATAATATTTTCATATTTACAAAACACATTAGATAATATATTTTGTAAATTTCAAAACCAAGGATCGTCGTTGGAGAAAGTCTCAAAATTTCTCTCACTGCAGGACATCTGCGAGAATGAAACGTTCACCTACCAAGCCTAGAAACGAAATGACCTCAACCCCCCCTCTTGCCGAACTCAGGCACCCTGGTATATAGTCACCCGTTGACACGCCCTCTCCCAGCCTTAACGTGATCTGCGATATAAAGACCAAAAACCCAGTGCCGTCAAGATCTCGTTACTGGCCCATTTGATTCAAGTATGCATAAGATAAGTATGACACATCACATATCCAACCACTCCAACAACATTCTGTTAAATGATCGATGCTACCATTTCTAAACGGTATCCCAGGAAAATCAAGCTGCTTACCTTAGTATAAACGGAGTTGTCGAAGACCTAATGACTGGAAGCACCAGCGCAGCGCGCTCACCGGCAACGTGGTGTAACCACATTCAATGGCAGGCTTCTAAATTTTGAACTTTAACCCCTATACATCTATTCCTTTTGGCGACACAAACAAGTATTGTAAATTCGAAGTATGAATACACGCGGGATAAACATTGGGGTGGTATTTTTTTTTCGGCAACTGAGTGACGCCTCCATAACTGCTGCTTTGTTCTTGTTGTTGTCACTGTTCGTGTTGTTTCTGTTGTTGCGGTAACATTTCAAAAACAAACAGCCGCAAAATATGTCCCTTTGATGGCAAGCAAGTAGTACTTTTGAAGATTTTATTTTGAACTCCGACGAGGGAAAATGAACACGAGGGGTGACTGAGTAAACAGGTAAAAAAAAATTTCATAAGTCGAAAAGTAAAAAAGGACGGGAAGTAATAGGATTACCTTTAGGAAGTCACTAAAATTATGAACGGGTCAATGACTTTTGAACAACTTGAAGGAAGAAGATGTAAAGACAACCGCTATGCTTTTGGTTCAGTCTGGGCAGTGACTCCAAATAAATAAATTTCTCAGATACCAAAAACACACGTTCGTTTACATATAGAGCAACTCAAATAGAACAAGATATTCAAATAACTGAGATTCTTTCTCTTTAGCCACCACGTGGGCGAAGCACACTCGACTTAACCAATTTTTATCAAATAATATTAGGAAAATATTAGCACAATCAGAAAAAGGAACAAATTGAGTATTTACAGACATTTTTCATCACGTTTGTAAATATAAAATGTGGCCCTAACTATAACAAATACCTTCAACATTAAATCTAATTAACTTGTCGGTGTATCGATTTGAGGAATAAAGCCAAATCTGACCTTTGACTATTGTTTTACCTAAATCTAAGTCTAAATCGCAATCTAAATTTGCTCGTAACATAAAATTCGCACAATTAATCGGTGTAAGTTAGTTTTTTCTGTTTGGACCATGAACATTAAACTGATACAAAGATTTTACTCAAACCACGCCACCTAAACGCAGACGTGAAACTTTGTTAATTCTATGTGAGGTCTTATTGGGGCTAACATTGGAATAACATTTTGAAACCCAACACCAATCAGCTCAACTAATTTTGAAATGTCCAATCATCTCTGTAACTGCTACAGGACTATTTTAAACCATCCCCGTGACTTCAAGGTTTTCTTCTCTGTCGAGTTTTTTTACACAGAAAGTGACAAAAAATACAGTGATACAAGACTCTGCATGTCAACGTAGCGGCCCACAGGGCTTTACCTTTGCATTACGCAACACTTGTACACACCAGCTCTCATCAAATTCAGCCCAATGAAACCATCCTTCAAAAATAAAATCCCATTTGTGGAGCAGGACATCGTGTTCAAGAATTGCAATCGGAAATCACGTATACACCTATAATACGGTTTGGAACGAAACGCGGATTACAGTCCCAGCCCCCGGCCTTGCTCTTCTGATTTTATTTCTGAAAGAGAGATGAGCACAAGTGAAGCATAGCCGTAATAAATATCTCACGTAAGGATTTGATATTTCCTGAGGAATCAACCACCCATGTCTGTCTGCTCATTTGCGACATGAATCGTTTGCATGTTGATCACAAACATTTTAATGTCATATTTACCACAAAGTACTTCCTTGTCAAATTGCCTTTCAAACACTGTTTGTCAGAGCCCAATGAGGCAGATTAATCCAAGCTGAGGTCTTTCCATTCTGACACTAAACCTTTACTCAAAAGACAGCATTTGATGCGCAATTAGTGGTAAAGGGGGTCCCCTCTCTTTTGTGTCTTTTTGTGTTGATGGAGTTTCTTTCAGATTTTTTTTTTGGGGCGGGGGTGAAGTAGGCAAAAATGGCCTTAAGGTGTATAGCCTATGCGTCACATTGGGGCGTCCCTGTTTTGCCACATATTGTGCTGGGTATAAAAGACGGACTTGGAGGTTGATTCCTCCTGAAAATACTTCAAGTACGATGGCACTTTAATATAAAGTGCACAAACACAAAAAACCCACTGGTTCGAAATTATGCAGAGATGCCAAAAACAGTTTTGTCAGAGGTTTCCGTATGTAAACCTTCCCAAAGTTTGCCAGATTGTCGAAACCACAGGGTCCTTATTTTCAAGTTTCTCTCAAAAAAAATACTTCGGGAGTCAGAACCTAATGTGACTTCAGCTAGCTTGTTTGCGTAAAATCGGACTTGATCTGATCTGCAAAAATGGTCCAATCGTATATACGTGTCAAGTTCGGTTATAATACCGTTACCTTTCATGAGTCTCAATTCTTTGAAACCTTTGACATTTATTCTCTAGCGTGTTCCAATCGTCGTGATACTTTATACTGTGTTTGAATTAATTTTTTACAACGTCCATTTCAAGTCTGTACAATATGATTACACTAAAGCATTTAATACAGTATATACAAAATTACTGCTTAATAAACTTCTGAGACAACCTTGGAGTTGCATTACACCTCAATGACGCGTCTATTGTTCAACCGTTGCGGGAGATTGGTTATTTTGTTGATGTATTACATTTGTATCTTGATGTAAAAACAATACTTTGTTGTTCTACAATGGAAACCTTTTTTTTTAAATTTCTTTTTGTCACTTTGAATCTCATGTTATGTGCAAAATCAATTGCAATTTCAGACTCAACCATTTCACCGACCACTGGGGACAACTGGTCATCAGCAAAATACTGGCCTCATGAGATATACCATATATCCCTTCCAATACCATGGAAGATGGAATTCTAGACCTTTTGGTCCGAATCCTCCATGCCAAGCTGGGTGCTTCCACGAATTTGACTCAGCTGTCTGCAAAAAACCACAGCAAAATTCAGTGTCTTTAGATTAATGAATGAATCCAGACATCCGTTTTAAGGGGCTTCTTGCGAAGAAAACAACTCGAGTCCTCTCTAAATGTAATTTCTTCCAACTAAGAGCATAATCCCTGTGAGCGTCAAGCCAGGGGTCTATCCCGCTGCCAAACGGTACTGTTGTCTTGTTCAACCTTAATGAAAATTTTTTAATGGAGAGATCACTGCTTCCTCCATGGTAAGATAAATAGATTCGAAAATAATTTTGTTGCGTTATGTTCATTCCTAGTTTTCATCTATTCTCAATGTCCCGGTTTTTGTTTCAAAGTCCGCCTTGAGCAGAAGCACCCCTCATCGATTGAAAAGAGTCATCTTGGTGGGGAGTGACCTCTAATAACACATGCATTTTATAGTCATTTGTGAACCAGCGACGTGCAGTTCTTACCAAATGAGCCTGCGTTTCTAGGATAACTGTGCGCCCTCCATTTGGCGCGCCCGCTCTGGATTCCAACCCGGGCTACACGACAGTATACTCTAGTTCCCAGACCAAACTTTTTAAAGGAATTTTTAAGCTGCCACGATCACAATATATCCGGACAGAGAAATTCCTCCCACTTCCGAGAATTCCCCATGGTGCAAAATTCCCGAACCCATTAATCTATTTCGTTTATTATCGGATATCGTCGCTTCCAGCGGAATGTCCACGAGTACAATTCCCCTTTTTTCCCCTAATTCTCTTGTATGCCACATGAATCTGAAAAACTTTTTAATGTTTGATTATTATCAGGTTTGCACAACTTTTGACATAACAGACTTTTAAACACTCACGGGCACGCGCGGGCAGCCTGAGCTAATGTTGGCAGGCAATCTGACATTATGTCAAACATTACTTTTGCCCGTGATGGCTACCTTACCATCGGACGGAATTGTGAGGGCAGCAAAACCCCAGCTACTGGTCACTTCCCAGTGAGCAAGGATATGACGTGACGCAAAACATTTACCTCTTCAAGCTTTGAATTTTGCGACGGTGCCAAAAATGCACCACAAGAGGGACAACGATCATCAAGACACCCAGAATCACAATGAAGGCAATGAAGAGACTGTTATCAACCTCGTTCTCGCTCGACATCGGATGAGGGTTTTGGTGCGGACTCGCAGTAGATCTGCGAGTAGAGCCTTCCTCTGTAGAAAGATAAGTTAGAAGTTTTATTTCATTTCAGGTGAGGAGCCGGACATTTTGAAGTTTAAAATCAATTAAAAATTAATTCTAAGAAAGGGCAAAAAGTTACAAAGGCTAGAAAGTCACATGCAGGAATGATAACGTTGCATCCCAAGACATCAAAGCTTCTGATGAGATAGTCTTGTTATGAAATGCGGGTAACTTACAAATGCAGTAATAAAAAATTAAGCAGTGTATACTAAAACAAAAATCGCCGGTGAATTGAAATTTTTGCAATTATAACTCCACCTCAATGACTGGTTCTGTATTTTGTCTTTAGTCATCAGTGTCTTTGGAATTTCCTGTCAAGAGGCCTTGCTCTACTTGTGGCAACCCGCTTTGTAAAACAGCGGTAGATCAGAAAAGAAAAAGGAAAACCATGCACGATGGTTCATAAACGAAAGTGTTGATATCAAGTTGGTAATGGATTTTGACAGCAAAATCCACCCCGACTTATTTCTCGCACAAGAATGACTATGGGCCTAGTTTATGTGTCTCCCTTACTATAAAACTAAAAACCAGCTTCACTTACTCTCAGGGGGTTCTGAAGAGGCGTCTTCTTCTTGAGGGCAGCATGTTGCTGCACACCATGCTGTAATACAAATAATGAACACGTTTTCGAAGTCCGTTTTTCATGCAAAGTTTTTACATGCATTTGGTGGGACAGGCACAGTGGGTTATGATAAAAAGGACCCTTGGTTCCATGTACAAGCACTCAGAGTGTGCCAGTTTTTATACAAATGGAGGCCCCTCCACAACAGAGGACGAATTGGGCAGGCCCCAAACCCGACTAACGACCCAACAAAAATGACAAAAACAACAACACGAACAACAACGACAGCGAGAAGAGCAAGCACACGATTTCAGGTCGATCGGTGCAATCACTGGTCTTTGTTGATGTCAGTTAGATATTTCCCTCAACCAGCCAATCACATTTCCTGTTATGTTACCAGTTGTGAAGATTGATCGATCGCGCCCGACACTGGATTAATTTGTGGAGCTTACCGTCCATGAATACAAATTTCGATGTTGGTATCCCTTCGAAGACTCTGACAGCTTGGACAGTGAAGGTATAGTTGCCCAAATACTCGCATTTGAAGTGGGGTATGATGAGCCAGCCGTCGGACTTCCGAACGTAGGGTTTGTCATTATTTGCCTCGTGTTGATATCGGTGCGGGATCACTGTCACCACTCCATGTGCGTCTGTCCTTGTAACCTCGATCGAGGCAGTTTGATCGCACTTCCGCCTGACTTCCACCGAAACTTGCTGCCCTAGATTTGGCCTAATCGTACTGACGACGAGGTCGAACTCTACACGGAGTAAACATTTTAGAAAATGGGGTGTTAATATTACATTCTCTCCAAATCCAACATTATTTTCATCGAGTGAAGTTTTCTCAGCTGGTACAACTTCACCTCGCTTTTCGGGGTATGACAAAGACAAGATGGTTTTAGACTGATGAGCGTTGAAAGTTTTTACATTACAAAAATTAGAGTGGCTACCTGATGTACAGGCCAAAAACCAAACTTGCACCTACTTATGCGTACATGTAATACGTAGAGGTGGCAGAAAGTCATTTTTTGCAAGTCCAAGTCAAGTCACAAGTCATATGAAAGTCCAAATCAAGTCATTAGGTCCGGTCACAAGTCAAGTCATTTGGTCACAGGGCAAGTTAACTCAAGTCACAAGTCATTTGGTCTAAACCCAAGTCAAGCCACAAGTCTCTGTGTCCAAGTACAAGTCAAGCTGCACATTATTTTGTCCAGCTGTAATCAGCAAAAAGTTGTAAAAATATATGGGGCCGGTCGAGTAGCGTCAGACTTGGGTTGGTAACTAACAAGTCATTTTTTGCAAGTCCAAGTCAGGTCACAAGTCAAGGCTGGTATTTATAAGTCAAGTCATAAGTCACAGAAATAGCGACTCGAGTCCAAGTCACATGACTCGAGTCAGCAACTCTGGTAACACGAATGATATTTATTCATGGTTACCTGATTGGCGTTGTACCAGAACGGTTGCATTATTAGTTCTAAGGTCTCGCGGTGACAAACTACAGGAGTACTCGCCAGCATCAGCTTGTGTGGCTGTAGGAACAGTCAGTGTAGCTTCAATGTCCCACCTGAGCTTAGAACCGCGGAGGCGGCAAAGCGGTGTATAATGATGCACCGTAGCGGTGGGGTGGGATTCGTTCGTGACGAGAACGGACCCATGGAAGAAGGCTATCGTGCTATTTTCGTTCCGAGCCGCCCGGACTTTGCAGTTCAACACGATAGGGTCCCCAGGCCCAACACACCCACTTATTGGCAGTATGTTGATGATCTCTGCCATCCCTGTGTTCAAAAAACATGTATCAGAAAGATGCACACTTGATTATGAAATTCCTGTGATAAAGTTAGTTCGTTTCTCTGCTTGTATTTTCAGACAGGCAAATATTCATTTTCTTTTGCCGAATAATCTAAAAACATGCACGTGTACACAGTTTACCAAATTTTATATTGAATATCGAAACAGACACGTGCAAGTAGTGACGCTCGTACAATTTCGGAACAGTGGTGATAACGCTCTGTTTCTAGAATGCTGGGGGCTTTCGATTCCTTAACTAAAAAAAACAAACGGGGGGTGGTAACTAGGTGCCCTTTCTCCCTGGAAACGCCATTCCTTTGGAAGCCTCTTCATTTTCTTTTTCCTAAATGCCTTACACTTGGTCAGAACACTGAGAGGATATGAGATCCGAACACAAAATTTGCAAACTACGTGGTATAATTAACCGTCGTGCATTGCTTGAAATCGTCAGTCATCAAGAAATCAAGTTCTTTGATCCAACATTTTTGTTTTCCTTACCTGCAACTGTCCCCCGCAGAAGCATGGCCAGCATCGCTACCAGGAGTGTGTTCAAGTTGCCCATATTCATCTGTTTACAACGAAAATGAACGAGAGAGGAGTTTATTTTCATGTCGGCGACAAATGAAATCCCAAGTACACCAAAATCATACATGCATAGCGAAATTTGTTACAGCAATAATGGAAACTGGTGTATTAAGTTTGATAACTGTACATAGCCTAAATTATTACCATCATGTCGGGAAAAAAGAAGCACTGTGCTTTTGGCTTTACGAACAATGGTTCAGACTGGACAAGAAACATAAGACAGGAGACAAAAGACAACACAGTAGGATACACTGCCAGGATAGAAAACAGTTAAAGACAGACGTGCCAGCGGCTAAGAGCAGACTTTTAAAGAATGGAAGTAGACTGGCATGATTATATGATCTGCTTTTCATTATACAAACTAATGGGGTAGGGTTTGGCTTTCCTGATAAAGGAATTTAGCATTGAGAGTCTTGTCAATTTGTATCAAGGTTGTTCCGAAAGGACATACAACGTGAGGTAAGACTATTTTTGGAAACAGAGTTACGGTTGTAATTAACATAATAGTTGCCTCTATAGATGCACTTCTAGTTACATGAGAATGTACTGAAGAAAGAGTTATTAAAACAGTCATTGAAATAGCATGATAAAAGACCATTTTTGTATTTAAACATAAATTTACCCAAGTTCAAATTGTTCAAAGTATTCCATGTTCCTCACATAATGGGCCTGTGTGAGTTAGATAACCTGTTTTTGATATTATTCGAACAACTTTCTTCTGCACAAGAAACAGCTTGTTGCATTGAGCGGTCGAGCTGCCCCAGGAAAGAATGGCATAATTTAAGTAGGAGCGAATAAGGGTTCAATACTAAGTCAAAAGTATAGCTTTCGGTAGAATTTTTTTAATCTATTCATAACACCAATATTTTTAAAGATTTTTGTACACGAGACGTCGATATGTTTACTCCAAGTGAGATTCTCATCAATATGAACACCAAGGAATTTAGTGCTTTTGACCTGCTTCAGAAAATCACCACGTAAACAGAGAAATGTATCTCATGTTTACTTATTTTGTCAAGAATTAAAACTCATGTAATTTGTCTCGAGTAAATTAACTGACAAGTTTATTTGACAAGAGCCACCCATTCACCTTTACAAGTTCTGTATTTAGATTACTGGCCGTATTCACATTATAATGGTCATATAACAGACTCGTGTCATCGGCAAAAAGACAAGGAAATTCTATCGGAAGAATTACAAACATCATTTACAATGTACATATAAGATAAACAATAAGGGGCCCAATACACAGCCCTGTGGAACACCACAGGTAATAGTACGATTTTTACTTAAGACATTAATAATCGCTAACTCTGTGGAACGATTTGCTCGAAACCTGATCCGAGATTCTGATAATAGACCATGCTGGTTTGTGAAATACATCAAGCGATTCTGTACTATTTTTTCCAAATACCTTGGGAAAGAACAGTCAATATGGTTATGGGTCTATAATCACTTATATCATGTTTATCGCCGCTTTGAAAATAGATACACAATTTTCAATCCTTCCAGAAGAGCGCCGAGAGTTTGACACGACCAACAATACCGACCAAAGTTCACAAACAAGAATCATGGCATTACAATTCCATAACCGGTGTTTAGCCACACACACATAAATAATTCACCTCGCGAAATCAACGGTTTTATTTCACAGCCCAGCGTCAAAATGCTGTTCTAGACGGCGTATGCGTCAGTCTTCAGGAGAACGGAGAACGTGTTCTCGCAAGCCGAGGAACCTTTGGAGGGGAGAGAGAGATGAGAAATACCTACAGTTTTAGGATTTGGTAGGAAAATCCCATAAGAGAAAACCCTGAATCAAACCCAATGGAGTCTGGTTGTGGAAGAAAGCCCTAATCTACTTGTCGACAGGGCCGGGAGTACAAAACCAGTATACGGCAGAGGAGACTAAGCGGGCAAAGACCACTATACTCCAAACTGACTCGGCAGACTGCGGGAGGAATCAGGCATAGCTAATGCTACATCCTCTCAATGACAAGGCAAAGTCCATTGAAACGCAACCTTTTCACCACATCCTCACAGGGTCACCCAATCGACTCGCCCTGCGCACGACCTCATCTATGTTTTTAAAACCCGGTCCGTGTTGAACCCGGAAGTGTGTGTATTTGCGCAATAACATTCCACTCAAAAAGTGAAAGCGTGCATAATATTCAGTGGCAAAACATGAAAACGGCATTTTTCCGGCTTGAAAATTTAATACAGGTAAATGACGACAGAGCACACTCTCGCTTGCAAAAAACTATTTAAAATACATCCAAGTTTGTTTGGGCTGTTAAACAGCAGTGTGGTATAGGGGAGCACACAGGGATTATGTTCCTCCATGGAAGTCCATACCCCCCCCTTGAAATTTTGTACCTTTGTACAAGCCACAAATAATTTGGTTTTAGTAGGCTACTCCTTGAAAAAATAGTGTGATTAGGCCTATTATCAAAAAATATTTCTTGGAATACATGTATTAATCTCGAAAGCGCTCTGGGCACTGTACTTCGGTAGCCTTAAGAAACATGAGGAGACGACGGAGCAAGCAGTTGCCAATTTAGGATGCAGGATGGCAATCCCAAGTGAATATTCTGGGTAAAACCCTCGGTATCAGATAGGAACTAGTCAACCCTCCAGCCCCCCCAGTGATCCCTCATAATGTTCACCCGTCTCAGTTGCTGTAATGGCGTCGCGGAGCAACGTCGACACGGATAACATTATTCAGATTTCTGAGTTTTTTCTGAATGAACGTGATCACTCAACCCACCTGTCTGAGCATTTGCCGCTTCATACCATCAAACAATCACAACACGACCAAGTACAGTTCGGTCTACGCGGACTGACCAAACCTATACCTCAAATTTACATTTGTGACAAAAATCGGCTGACAGCTAAATCTGTACAACCATTTAATATTTACATCTGGTCTGCGACAAAAAATTACGGCAAAAAAAGCTACAATAACCCTACCGTATGAGATGATTTCTCGAGGTTCGGAGCACGAAGGATGGAGCGCGCAGGTCTCAGTCTGGCTGAAATTGCATCAGCCGAGCCGTTTATATTGCGGAGAATTCGCAATCGAGTTGCAAAAACCGGGAATTCCCTTCCAGTCCCGCAGTTTCACGCAGGCGCTACGCTAGGCACCCAGCCTCGTGATTATGCAGTGACTACACCGAGCAATGCGCGGTGATGAATAAAATATTGCGCTCTTCAAGGGGAGTCTGTGGTAAATCCAGGTTTTTCTCCCAAGAAAGATACATCTGGAGATTTTAATCTTAAACGACTGTCTTTTTTTACATGACCCTCAAGGAGCTGACGACTCTAACGAGTTGGCGCTTTCATTCTTTAAAAAGGGAAAATTGCTACAGGGAGGGGGAGGGTTTCTTCAAATTTCATTAGCAATATCGTCAATGAACATGAACTATAAGTAAATCCAGAATATCGATGGATTAAAGCAGAGAGAGTCATTATAAAAGGAATCGGATGTGGACTGTGATAAAATCATAAGAAGCTGAAGGCCAAGGCATAATACCATAAACGCATGTACATTAAGGGCATGCGCGCCCAAAGACACTGCACTTGACCTTAGATGACATTTTGGAAAGTCCCGATCAGAACCCTGGACGGCACGATGTTTGTCGCCAAGAGTAATGTCGAGTCATATTAATTTTCTGGCAGCTTATTTGGATATAAACCAGGAGCATCTCTCCACCAGAAGAAGCGAAAGAAGTGACTGTTTTCTGCTCCAAAAATGAGTATAAATGTACTTATTGCGCTATTCACATTTTGACTACATGTGCTATATTTCTGGGAAATGGTTAAGTTCACGTTTAGGCCTATAGATTCGTAGCATTAAGTTCTTCCAACCCAACTGTTCCAACCTTAATTTGCATCGTGAAAATGCACATGACAATATTAAGATACCTCTAATGAAAACAAGATTTTTAAAACATTAAAAAGAGGGATAGTGCATACAGGAAAAATCATTAGCCTACCAACATTCTTCTACAAGGACAATACAATGGACCAACTGATTAGGCCTACAAGTCAGGCAGAGTGCTGTTTGGTAAGGAGACACTGAAACAGTTTAAATAAGCCCCTTACTAACGCTAAAGTCAATCAGCGTTTATAGCACCGAGACGTAAAAGGTGAAAATTAATTGGCTCGGCTAACCGTCATTCCTAGATTTACCTAAACGTTTATCTACGTTTACTAAGGATTATAACTTCCTCCCGGCAAACTGTGATCCCTATTAAACAAACATCAAGATCTAAGATACTCGTCAGGTGAAACATTAATTTCGTTAACGAGAATACACAAATAATGTGCACTAAGGGCTGACGGAGGCTTTTTCTCGGAAGTTACGTTCACTAGATATCAGTGAGTCCATTTGCATTTATTTTATCACAGTGTTCTTCATTTCTCACTTTTACTCCATATTATGCATGGTGTAATGACTGAACAGTAGACACAAGTCAGTAACCGTGAGAAAAACTTAAAAACACAAGAGTCTCTGAAGGAAAAATCCATGGTTTCGAAATAATGCAGCCGAATAACGGGGAAACCCCCCTCCGACTACAGGAAACTACAGATCATTAGGCCCTACCTGGGATTCAACTCATCCTTCCATTACAGCATTACAAATATTCCAAATGTGGGTGACTCAATCCTTCCTCAACCCACACAAGCCAGTTCAGAATTTCCTTGTCTTTAGCTGGTGCTACATATTTTTGGAATGCCAATGTTTAAAGATAATTTCAGTCAACATGTCTTCAATTAGACTTTCTTTCTACTCAACAATCTTTTCTCATCCACTACATTTTCGACCATATTGCCGTTTTTAATTCTGAATTGTCTTTTCCAATACATGCTTTTCTTCGTGTTGTTAAGTTATTTACGAATGTTTAATGTGCACATTGGGAAGATGAGGTTCACCTTTAAGTCTTTTAAATTAATTGTGGTGACTTGATTTCAGTCCAGAGCAGAATCCAGTTAGATTGGAAAGAAGTGAAAACGTAGTTAGCCTGTAAACTAAGTATTAAGGATTTTTGTGAAAACATCGACATTTTGTGGGTCACAAAATAAATTGTCTTTGAACTTCCGTAACATCAATGTCAATGTTTATATAATAAGGGATACTTGACCCCATCCATGTTGACGGAAGTTAATAGCTAATCCTGGGAATTCCACGAATTTTATACACGATGCCAAGTCTCTTTGTGCAGGGACCACAGCCAATTTGTCTTTTTTTCTTAGTTCAGTATGATGTCTTTTTTGTGAGTGCACTCTTTTCTGTAGAGTTTTATCTATTAAATTTCGTGTCAATTTTCCATTCAACTGATTCCGTTTTAATGGTCCATAGGAAAGTACGTTTCTCCCTCAAGCTCATTCCAGTTTGTGGAAGTATTGAAAACGTATGCATGGAGTTTTTTAAAAATCTCCGTAAAGTGGATGATATGACGTCATTTGACAATGGCCTTTGTAAACTGTGGGTGCTGCATGTTCTACATAATTGATTTCAGAAATAGCTTAAACGTATGCAGCTTTAAGCAACCCCCAAGAGGGAACATGGAAGAAACTTATTGAAATTTAATTCAGGCAAACTTTGTTACACTGGCTGTAAAGTTTCTATACAAATTGGCAAGTGTATTGAAATAGGTAATTCAGATTTGCGTTTAGTTACCCACTTTAGCATCATAGACTTTAATAGCAGGATTCCATACATAACTTCTTCTGAAGTAAAACATTATTTTCAAAAATCCCCTGAATACGATCTCTTTGCAGTGTCGATTTCTCTGCTGTCAAAAAGCCAAAAACAACACTTTCATTCTTCTGTCATTGTTAACAACAAGTGTGCACTAAATGTTGACGTAGCTTTATATTGTAGTTTCACGTCTTGATCAGTGTCAGCTTGTTTTGCAAATAAGTCCCGAGGTAGGCATAAATCTTTACACTCATTCGAGAAAGTTGCACAACCAAAGTACGTAAGAGGTAGCAATGAAGACCAGATTCGTAAAAAAAATGTTAGCAGGAAAGAAATTTCGCTTCCACAGTGCTGCTGAAATTTAAGAGTATAATGTTCTATATACGAAGCGTGTACAAGTCACAAAATTATGTTACTACATGTATAACGTAAGTTCAACACATACCTCTCATGGGGGAAGCAGTATAAATGTTGGTATTGGGTACAGCACACCTTCATGTTGTGGTGCACTGTGTACAATGTGAAATAGTAACACTTTACCCAAAGGTTGACTTTTTGGCTGTGTTTTTTAAAAAAAATGAATGTGGTGGACCCCATTCAACATTTAGCACAGTGTCACACACCAAAATGTCTGTAGTTGGGTCTTTGTTCTATGGCCATGCTGTGCTGCAACTGCAGTAGAATCAACCCGTCTGATGCAATGACATGAAAATATGGCAAGGTTCCAAAACGGCAGGTGCACAGTCTGACACCACTAGCCATGCGTCCCCTTACAAAAGGATTTCTAACGTTTCATTAGCCTTTAGATGGCTCAAAAAGTTTCACATCGGACAATTTCTTAATTGATAAGAAAATAAGGCCTCAGTTAGGTTTCTCTTGAAAATGGAATGTCATTTTTTTTATTCTGTCAGGAGATAGAATCTATCAGTTAAAATCAGAAATGAAGAGTACTTTCATTAAAGTCATTTATATGACAGTTTTCTCCTGCCAACGTTTTGGACTAATCCTCTTTTCTTTGTTTCTGAATAAGATCGACTTGCTTGTATCGTTGCACTAACGTTTGTCAAAATTTCTACTCGACTTAACGTAGGCCTACTAGACCACGGGGCATGGCAGCAAAATGAGCTCAGAAATCAATTTCCTTGGCGCACCTCTTGGATCTTAGTGGAATCACTGCCAATTGTTAGTTTAGATCATATGGATCACAAAAGATCAAAATCCACAATCCTCTGTACCAATGATGAGGTCGAGTACCCAAACTTGATACCGAGTTTTCCGAGTACACACAGTGCCTAGTAAAAGTACAAAGACAATGGAGTACATCCGGGTACAGTGTAAAACTAAAACATTGTGGAAATTTGCATTGGTAGTTTAAAAATGTACACCAGCGATACTGCGCGTGCGAGCGCTGCCAAGTGCCAACACCCATTCCAAATACATGGAATCGATATTTTTGGCCAAAAAATCGGTCGAAAATTTGGTCGAAAAAAATTCCCAATTTCTTTTCCAGAACTGCACGACTGGGATCGGTTAACCGAGTACAATTTGTCGAGGTTAGGGACGAGTTCGAGTACAAAATTACGAGTAAGTGCCAAGTACTTTTCTTTTTTTCGAGTACTTACGATTGAGCACGGGCCAAGTACTTACTGGTATTCGAGTTTGAGTACGAGAACTCAAACACTGCTCTGTACATGTACAGTGTACTTCAAAAACGCAACGTGTACATACGTGGATACCGGTAGTCAAACGCGGAAGTTTGTTGACAATGACCTCTCATATAATCGCTGTACAATGAGCAAAGGGTGCCCTTTGTATATAAACAATAAGCTAGTAACATGTACATCACCACGGATGTGATCGTGAATATAGCCGTATGTCTGCAAACCTACCACATCATCTCCAAAGGCTGGTTAAGCTTCTGTCCGCGGTATCACTTTAAATATACATGCCTTAGACATTAAATGCAGAAAATATTGCTTTCAGTCTCTTAACAAAGACACTTACATGCACACAGACGGATTGCCTAGATCTTCGCCCCGCGTGACCCCAGATCTATAGTACCGCGTACTTCGCCTAAGCAATGTGCCTTTGAACTTCGTTGTAAAAAAGTCGAAACACGCTCAGCTTAATCGATGAAAGCTGTTGAAACTTCAACTATCGTCAATAGCGAAACGCATGTGTGATGTTGTTCCATTGTATTGGGCTGTTATATAGGTTTGTATGGGCACTTTCCAACTGCCCTTGCCTGCATGACCGACAATAAAAATTGGGAAATACCAAACATAATTCTTAAAAATAGTACACGGGCACAAACGCATGCGCAAAGAGGGTAGACTTAACTTCAAGTCGATGCTTAGTCGAATCGTTTGATGGCATAATATTTTATTGGTCAGCTGAAATAATCCGGCCGTCTGATTGGTGGATTGCGAGTCTTGAATGACTTGCCCCATGGCACAGCCAAGCAAGGCCAGGCGCAAATCCGGAGGGGGATATGACACCCCCCCCCCGTTAAAAAATGTGGAAATAACTAAAGTAAGTGCACCAACACCATTATACACAGTGTGTGTCGTGTTAGGTTTCAGCATCATTTCTGCTTGTTCGTAAAACAGGAGACATTCAAAAAAAATTTCCAGCCTCGCCCCATAAAAATTCCTGGTTCCGTCGCTGACGGCTGCGCGTCAAAAGATACCTTTCATTATAATAATACCGGCAAATGGAAGTTCAATGTTTGACTCCCAGGAAAAGGTTAGCTTCGAATATGATGCAGGAATTCGTTTAAACAGTAGAGGGATTTCTTCACTCAGACGTTGATTTTTACTACCGGTATATATTCAATGTGTCACATTCGTGTATTGAAGAGAATGAGCCCATTGACCCTTAAATGTTTTTCTGTACAGCGTCTTAGTTCCTCCACTGCAATGCGGATGGCGCGTAATCGGACGGCAGCGACTGTGCACAGAGCCGAAGGGCAAAACACTTTTCTGAATGACTTACAATCAAGTCTACTTGAAGAACGGTTCCACTTCCTGTGCCCTGCAGCCATTGATGGTGTAGATTTTAACCTCTAGTAGTATGGGAATCCCAGTGAGTTACAAAGTTCACAGTTACGCAAACTCGCCTGTTGGAATTCCCAGACTTAGTAGTGTGGCTAAAACAGTTAAACTGTCTAATCCCATATAAGGATCTCTGTTGAGTGATCGCGTTCGGCCAAATTTCATGAAAACACACGCAGTAATACTAATAATGTACAAAACCATTAGCTGCATGTGCACGTGGGCCAACATGACTATGCACTATCTTGTTAGGTCCATAGTTACAATTCTACACAAATGAGCGAAAGAATATCCTTCTTACTTCTTATTGTTGACAAATTACTTTCTTGCACGTGCAGAACTCCAGGTTGAATTTATTCATTTCTTCGACCCCTTTTAAATGATGATGTTAATTTATTTTATTTAGTTATGCTTTAAAGAGGAACATAACAGTTCGCAAAACAAAGATCCAAACCAGCAAGTCATGATGTAAAAAACACGATTCCCTGCACCGTCTTCAGTGTTCCAAGTCGGATTATGTTTCACACAAAAAGGTTCAACAACATGCTAATTTGGCGGCTAGAATTAGAAATCATTACCGTGGGATTACCTAGCTCACAGACAGCCTGGTATACGCACTCGTTATACCGGGCGGTGCCTCTTAAAGCAAGCCACTTTAGGCTCAACGCAATTGAAGTGAAACGAGTAACGAAACATCAAAGTTTAAAGAAAAATCTGGAAGATTACATGAAAAACTCTTTCCTTTGGTCACTAAGTTCTTCTCAAACGACCTTCAGACAAGCGTGAAATTTGTTGTATTCTAAAAGAGCCTGCTTATCTCCGTAAAGTTTATTTACAAAATCCTTCTTTAATTTGAATTTTAAACATATGATTATGGGCCCTTGATTCTTGTACCACAAGAGAATCTACTGCATGCATGAAAGTAACCAAGCAACGACGGCTGTTGTTTAGCTTTTGCTCCCAGAAGGGAGTGAAACAGGGTCGTGAAAACTATAATTTTTAACATATTTCTGCGCATTTTGAAATTATGCAGATGTGTTTTCTTGTTATATGTGTTTGCTTTATGTGCTGATGCATGTTTCACAAGAAATCTTTCCAGCACAGCCCATCCCCTTTAATAAAGGGTATGTCAATTCCAAACGTCTATTTTATTGTGAACAGGAACTACATACAACATACTTAAGCTATTTTACCGTACATTGCACGAATTGCTTACAGGGAAGAGAAGGCTAATCCCAGTTTTGTTAGTCTCCGGTTGCCACAGGGAGGAAATCTTTTGTGGCAGAGGACACATACAATGGCACTTTGCCAGAGGATTTCTCGCTACAGGTTTTCAAGCCCCAACAAGCCTCAACAAGCCTAAAAATGTTTTGGGGTTTCTCTTTGCGTGGGAAAGTTGAGCAAAGACAACCACACTTCAAACTCATTTGAAATACATGTTACGGTTTACTTGGTAAACACGATTACCTTTACTCTGTTCTCGATGTGAACCGCGGAAAGTGCCCAGCTAACAAAGCCCTAGCACTGCACTTCACCTTAAAACACAACGGAATTCTTAACAAGAGCAGATTAACCACCACAGTATACCCCAACCCTTTATCTACGCGGAAATTGTCAAAATTCTGCACACCTGCACAAATACCTGCCGCAGCTTTTTTTTCCAATGCGGGCAGATACGATTGAAAAAAAAAATGAAATAGAGTCTGTACCTTTGAAACGTCCGTGAAAGCTACATTATTGCAAGGAGGTGCAGTTCCATACTGCGCCAAGCTAGGCCTCGACCAGCCCATGAAAACATCTGTGCCGCTTACCGCCATGTTGTCATGAGGGAAACCAGAGTGCCAGTGGGTTAACAACACGGAACTTATCTAGCACATATTACCAGTGAACTCATTTTACCACAGAAGGAACATAGCTCCTAAATGATTGTACCCCTTCTTTGAAATTGAAATGGCTAACTACACACGGTAACAAAAAGTAACTTTCTAACATACCAACGCGTACTGAGGTGAACAACACCAGAATATTTTACCCCGCAATAAAAACTAAAAGGTCATAATTTCAGTCAAGGGTTTGGAGTATCGCTATTCTCTGTTGGGACCTGGCCAATCTTTAAAGAAAATTTGCGACTTCCATTTTATTACAGAGTAAGAAGAAACTCAGCACTTACTCTACCCGACATTTTCAACACCAAGTATTGGGGTAAAAGTTAAACAAAATTTGATCGTGTGTGTAGAAGACATGCAATTGTAACAGATGATAAATACTCTGATTGTTTTGGACATTAATACTCACTCATTTTATGAGAACTCCTGCATATTACGTCGTAAAAAATGTGTTCACGGTCTAAACACATTTCCAAGCGATTTTTTTACACCCAGTGCACTATTTAAACTTGTTTAAAAAGCTAAACATGTAGCACAGAACAGCGTTTTAGCATTCAAACACATTTCAGTAAACATATCATAGGTTAAACGTGTGGGTAGCCTACAGAAAGTATTCAAACTCTAAATGTTGTTTTTACAGTGTACTGTTATGTCCATTTTTATGAAATCAAAGTAAGGTTTTGATTTCTACTTTTAAACTTCAGTCTTGAGTACATTTCCTTTGAAATCTGATGGTACCGTACGTTTGAGTAACTTACCCGGGTCGACACGGTTAAACACCAAGCACTCTGGTTATCACCAAGCTGTTCTTTAGCTCTGTCTCTGACGTCATACGCGGGTCTACCACGGGCCAGTCGCTACGAGAAACTTGTTCCACGTGTTACTGTTACAGTTTCAGAGGAAATTTTTCCCTCATCGATGCGTTAAGGGAGAGTAATCTCGACCAAACTTTATATCCCTTGTCGTCACATTGTAGCAGTTAAACCCAGTGAGTACTCAATTGGCAGTGCTGTTTTCATTGATTGTTGGTATGCAAGTTGTTATAGCTTAATAGCTTAAATATGATCACATTTCTCAAATTCTTCCTCATTAGAATTTGGTATGAATCAACACTTAGGGGGTTGGCTCTTGGAGGCTAAAATGCTGGGCCGTCCGTCGCCTGTGGTCATGTTGTCTCTGCCTCCCCGTCACTGCAAAGTTTAACGAACTTGTAGATTTGATTCTCTGCATTGCTGGTGAAAATTCAAATTTAATAATTCAAACCCTGCAGGATTTTGGTCAGGGTTAATGTCGGGCGTGGCCGAGCCCCCCCCCCGGCATTGAGAAACATCCTCAATAAGCAAACCAAGTGTTGACCAGAACAGCTGGATCGTTGGCCAGCTCATCATTAACCATGGCGAACATAACAGAAAGGAGCTGTTTGAAGTGGGGATTTTGAAGTAAGCACAAAAGCGTTTATCGAAACCAAATAGCGCCCTCCTATTATGTTCGCCACACCTCAAAAATAATAGGCTGATGGAAGGAAACGCCATGGACGCCACGCTTTGTTCACCTATGATCTCCAAATTTGTTGTTAAAATTGAGAAGTGATTTGTCCGTCTTTCATTTTATCAGGCTTGTCAATGTAGTGTCTGATCTAAATAAAAAATGGGGGGGGGGTTCTACACGAGTAGGCCTAACCCTGTGCCAATGGCAAGAGGGCTTGTCCGAGAGCCTGTGTCACCACAAAGATTTTGTTTTATCAGTTAAGAGGGATGATCTGCAAGGTAATTATGATACTTCACACACCTACGTAACTGCAGTTTCCATTATGGAACATTTTGAGAATTTCTTGAAAGTTGAAAAGGAGCTCTCTTCCTTGAGCAGAAGCACCCCCTCATCGGTTGAACAGAGCCATGCTGGTAGGTGGTGCTCATTTTTCTTGGAAGCGATGCGACCGTGACACGTGCATTTTGATGTATCGTTTATCCACCAGCAAAACCAAACGAGCATGTGTTGTTAGGGAAATTGCGCTCTCTCACCCTCCAGTCAAGGGTCAGAGGGCCAAGGCCTGATTAAGTCCGCTCAATTTACGCGAGGACAAATTACACAAGATGATAGAAGACATTGCACTGCGTGCAGGACGGCGGAGAGAAAGCCTGCATGCTGGAAAAGTAAAAAAAACAAACCCAAAAACAAAAAAAGGGGGAGGGGAATAAAAGAATGTCATGCAGTGTCATGTGTCACATCCAAATTTCTTCATCATTATTTCTTTCTTTTCCATTTTTACTGGGTTAATTGATATATGTCGAAGATATTTCCATCCTAAGATCATCACTCTTAATGAAACTGATGTATACACTCTTGCAAAAAGTCGCTGTTTTGCTCACATTTCTCAGAAATACAAACTGGGAGTCATTTTGGTGGGTTCCACCCTTATTTGAGTTTACGAACCCGAACCTTTATGAACCACAAACTACTGCAACAGCAGACCATTTTAGGTCCAGGAACTAGTGATTTGGCCAGCAAAGGTATAAATGTGAGGTCTATTTACTCAGGCTGGCCTGCAACCGTAGTCTTGAAAAGGAGGCTTTCAACCTTATTCTTTCCAGATCTTTAAAGTATAGATTTCTAAACAAGCATTAGGTGTAAGACTTGAATTTGAGTGTTTAACTTAAGCTTGATTGGAGGACCTGACAGCTTTATTACAAAATCTTGCAAAGTAAATACACCAAGTTTGAATAAGAGGATCTGAAAGACAGTAAGTTCTACAATCACACTGAAATAAGACGAAGCAACAAGAAAATTAGGAATTACTGGCATTGTGCAAAGTTTTTTGACTAGTGGTCCTGATGTACAAGCATCGACATTAACTAAAACGTTTCTTCACCTTTACCGGGTATTGTGTTTTGGAGCCATGAACGTGGCGAAATTGTTAACTCTGTCCTTCAACCTTCTGTGATAGTTTTATCTCACAGCCCATTATATTACATCTCATGGCTGGTTCAAAAGAAGCGCTCGCACTTGGACTTATTTACACTGGCATCCAGCTATGGTGAAGAGAAAGTCTTGCCTTGCATTGACTTTAAGCTCACACCGTGACCATGGTGACAAGTTGCCATGTGCCCTGCCAATGTCCGTGTATACTGCACGGAGCCATGGCTGTTCGTAAGATTTACTCCATAAAAAGCCCAAACAGTGCTTTCTGCTACTTAAGGGGGTCATCGGGAGAGTTCGGTGGAACGTCGCTGGATTCATCAATATCAAACAATAAAACTGAGTACACGCTATGGCGTCACTGCTACCTTACAATAACTTAATACACATCTTATCAATTTGCACATTCCCATGAAATGTCTAAAGGATCTACTAACATAAAATACATAAGAAAGAAGTACATGTACTTATAAATTACATGACCTCTCCGGGTTTTTTTCTACATCAGGTGAATGGCGTGTTGGTGCTGTATTTCACATTTTTGACATGCTGATCACCCAATCAGAAATATTCAAGCTAGTCAGAAACAAGACAAGAAAGTGAACCCCATAGACATCCTAAATTCTGAGGGTTCCACATAGTACACAAACATATCTGACACTCACTGCCTGTAGTCTGGAAACCGATCCCCTTATAGCAGTTATTCATATTAAGTTACCATTAGAGAATCGCTGGCACAAGAATCAGTGATATATGAATTTCTGGCTTATTGTTCCGACTTAGGGAACTAAATCTTAACCTATAAATTATGGGCAGAAAAAGTAAAAGGGCACAATGAATTCAGTGGGAACTTGTGGCGAATGGTGGAAGGTGACCCCTGGACCTCAGTGGCCACTAGCCCCGGTCTATGATTAATCCTCCCCTTAAAGGTTCCATTGGAACCCATGATAAATGGAAAATTCTTAGTAACGACACCTATAGTCCCCTGGCACTTAAGGTGAAACTTTTTGACAGGCCATTTATAAGACTTGTCATCCTAAGCCCAAAGGTGGCTAATTTGTGGGAAGTAAAGTATGAAATGATTCTCGGCGGGACCTATCTTGTCCCCAAAGGAGCCGGTTTGTGGACCATCTCACAGCCTGAGGGGGTGGAGGGTCCCCCGCCCGAATGAGAGAACTCCGCGGTCTAATGTTCGATTGGAAACCTTGGCATGTGGAGACACTCCAAATCAGTGATGTGAAGTTTAAACTTAATCTACAGTCTTTCGAAATTCAAGGCCACACGCGTGCATGAGTGCGGCAGTGGAAAAGCTTTTGTCTGATCTGTCTCGGAAAAAATGGCGCTGCGCGAGAATAGTCCATTCGATTCCCACAAAATTGGTGTCAAAATGATCGCAAAGAGTTAAGGGATCAGCACCTAAAAATAAAGCACTACAACGATATGAGCAAAAATGTGGAGCAGACGGTCCGCCTCTGGCTCTTCTAGGGTGAAGAGCAACACTTGTCACCGGCACTCCGACCTTTTTTCCCCTTCAGTATGGGGGAAATGGAAAGTAGTGAAGTTAAACTACCCTTTCTGGGAAGGTGCCATTTTAGGCCACTGTCGGTTAAGCATCCAAAAACCACACTGTTGTACCAGACTAGTGAGAAAGTTATTGCGGACTGGGTAAGACCTTGGTGAGCTATTTCCCAAGTTGATCCCTCAATGCATCCAAGGCCATCCCTGAAAACGGTGGCGACAGACGATGTGAAGTTCCAGCGCTTTGTAATGTTCTCATCCACGACGCGACGTCTGTGAAATATGCAAATTGACGATGCCTTCCCAATTTGAGAGGCCTGAACGAGTTCCCGGGCTCAGACCGACGGTAGAGTACCCTTTATACCGCTGTAACGGGGTCTGCATCGGCTACACGTGATGGAGACCTGTGGATGAACGATCCAAACCCTTAGCAAAACCGACACATTTTGTTTTATAGTCCAGTTAACCCTCAACATGATGGCGCTATTTTGTCTTATGATGTCAGCAATCCTTGTGTAATTCTTAGCATATGCACTTTAACACATTTGGTGGGTGTTAAAATATCTTTTAGTTTATGAGTTATAATTCCGTAACATAACACATCTGGTTAGACGCACGTGACTTATTGCCCAAGATATGTTGTACCTGGTTTCAAAATATGAACGTGTTACCTCATTCTAATTAAATTTTATATATAAAACATTCTTTTAATTTTGACCCCCACGGCATAGTGACGTCGCGATAGAATGCAGGATTCCACATCAAGGTTTACGTAAATGCCCGATAACCGAACAACACCTTGATTTTGACAACATGAAATAGTCTTTTAAATGAGCCGGGTTATTTTGGCCCCTCTCAAAGCCAGTTGGGGCAGATTCTACCCCTATAAAAACTCGACTGTGCCACGTCTCATGTTTTTTTTTAACTTGGCAGGCATGTATAGCATTTCTTTATCATTACAAGGGTGAAGTTTGAAGTCAGTCACCCAAAAGTTTTGTTGTCATGGTCATTTGATGTTCGAGGCCAAACGCGTGCCAGCCCGCACGCATTGAGCACCACCATACACGGTAGAAAAATTACACAGTTTTGTTGATTTATCTCAGAAAAATTGGTGCTCCATGCACAAGTATGGTCGAGCCAGTTTTCACAAAATTAGTGTTAAAATGATTGCAAAGATTTACTCTAAAAACTCCTAAAGGCTCAGCTAATGACAACAAGGCAGTGCGGAGATATTGGAAAAATATCAGAGGGGTGGTTTCCACCTCCCGGCCCTTTTAGGGTTAAGGCAGATAGCATATTAGATAGAATATGATATCACACTGCATTTCACCAGGGAGAATCAAGGAATCATCACCCCGATTTTCGCGGTACACACGCAAAAAATGAAGAGAGTGAGAAGGGAGAAAAGTGAAAACCACCACCCAAGGCGAAAGCAAACGGGCAAGGATGTATACTGCATGACCGCTGCATGGTGTCTGATGATGATGTCCGGTGCCACACTCCTGGAATTTAATGCGGCCCGAAAACTTTCAGATTTTCTATGCCCATTACCCCAATCTTGTACCCTACTCTAATGGCGCGTACTGCAGGTCTCAGCGTCTTGCTGGCTTATCGCTTCACTCAATGTCACTTATCAATTTTTACACCACCGGGGCAAACTAACGAGTACTTTTACGTCACCAGTGCTTGTCAAAAGCCCAAAGTGTCCACCTTACCCTCGAGTATGCTTCCATTTCCCACGGTAGCAGCATGCTGCCAGACCCAGCACGATAGTGGACACGCCCAGCACAGCCGCACTGACCTCAGCCACCACCACAGGCGAATCACCCTTTGATGAAGACGGGGATGGCTTTATTTTTGACTTCGCTGTTGGGGTGAACACGCTCGTAAGCTCTGTCGTGCCAAAAACCAAAAAGTTAAGATTATTATACGGACCCAGAAACACTGTTGTTGCCATAATCAGTGGGAGAAAGGGGGCAAGAGGGGGATTTCTGCCTCGTTTGAGCCCCGCCATACTTTTGGATCCTCCAATATATATAAAATAAACAAACTGCTCCCGATCTCTTTCTTGCGTGGCCACATCACGCCCGTGCATTAGTCTTTACTGTATGACAGAATTAAAATGGCACTGTAAGGAGTTCTACTTCGCACAAACCTGCCGCATTGGCGTAACTAAGGCTAAATATTCGGGGGGCAACCGGGGGTGCACTAGTTTTTTTTTTTTTTCTAAGGGGGGACCACAAGAAAGTAAGGGGGCGGCACGGGCTTCGCTGGCGGGGAGGAGGGGGAAGAGCTGGCCTTTTGGGGGTACGGCTTCCCACTCCGTACAAGAACTTTACAAGAGACAGTGCACGTGTACGACAACCATTTTTGGGGGAACTTTACATGCGCGCAATAAGCACGCGCGACCAAATTATTTTTTCCCCGAAATGTCTTTTGAGTGCGCGCCGTGTGTTGAGAATTTTCCCATGCACCGTCCTGTCTCTTTTTTGCCGTTGAGGGGGTGTTTCTAGTCACAGTGGATAGAACAAGGGCATCTTAATGTGACAGAATGTAATGAATAGACCTGACATGTCCCATTCGGTGCGTACAAGCAAACGCGAGGCCCGTTTTGCAAGTTGGAAATTAGAGCATTAGAGACAAACGCAAGACGATAGCCATGGGAACGAGGCTGAGCAGAAAACTGTAGTTAGTGAACCGCAACGTATTAATGTGTAGAGAGTTTCAGTGGAGTACATTGTAGGGCTGAGGCCAAACCATTAAAGAGACATTGAGGCCAGCCATTTCACAAAAAACGGACGAATTCTAACAATGAATATTAATTCTAAAGCGGTATAAACAGCGCCCCCTAAGATTGCCGCTGCGCGAACACTGATAAAAAACAGACACCCGAAAGTTGAAACGATTTTGGACAGTTCGTTGCTAATAAGCGCCCCCCCTGAGAAATTCTCCCCTGGAAAATAGTACTGTATTCCCCTTCCCATGGAAAACATCCCGGCGACACCCTCGGCTGCAGAGCTAGGGGTGCATACTTGAAGGAAAGCATCTTGCACGAGGACACGATCATTTTGATGGACAACTCATCTCACCCAGTGATCGTGATTGTTCGATTCCAAGATTCAGACTCCATTTCAACTTGCATCGCCTGCGCGATACACAGACGGCCTGAATTTAACAAAAGCCGCGTGAGTCTTGTGAGAAGTGTCCAATACACTCGACGATTTTCCCGTGAAGGGAAGGAGGTTCGATCTCGTACTGGTGAAGGACCCACCTGGTCATCACTTCGACTCGTATCAATGAGCCATACCCCCCCCCCAAACATTGACGTTATAGTAGATTCTCGTACCTCTCCAAGTCTCCTCTCAAGGCGTCATGTAATCGATCGTAGTCCTGTTAAGCAGAAACCGCTGCTTTTAACTTGGTCATGACTTGTGTCATGACTTGGGTCAGCGAATTAACCTGTGTAAAACATGGCCCTTAATGTCTAATCCCCCAAAAGAAAGTTTATGATAATGTGGAAAAAAATGACCTGAACTCGAGTGGTAGGTTTGGTCCGGTCTATAACATGGCATTCCTTTCCTGACTTTGGCGAGAACAACAACTCTTAGCTAGCCCACGGAAGGAATCGCCGCTTCGTCATATTAACCGACTAGCACGACCTATCATCTCACAGGCAGGTTGTCCCGAACTGACACAATACCCAATCGGCCACTCCCGTCTCCAGTTCAATCACCTCAGAACATCATCGGAACTATCCTCAGCTGAGTTGGTTGCGTCATCCTTTCTTTTCGGAACTGTTCTTGAATCAGCGGTTGGCGGGACTGTTTTCAGTGTATTTCTGTTTGCGCAAGATCGTCCACGTGGGATCTGGATCTGTGTTCGGAAGGAGCGCCCTGATCATCAGTCTTGTATAATGAGTAGCTTACTATTGTGTCATTTCTGTTGTATCATAGTAATTGCCAATAGTTGTTGTTGAATTTTGACATCTTTGGATTATTAGTGTGTGTCAACCGAATTAAATTCCTGTAAATCCTACCTAAACTAGCTGTCTAACATTCTTTTGTTATTATTTTGTCGAACAAGTTTGGTGGACTCGGGGATTTCCATGAATGGTAAACCCCGCGATATGTACAAAGAAGAAACAAAGCTATTCTAAGAAGAATATATTAGACTTTACAGCACCTTGATGCACATTTATTTTGGCCTCGCAATTTTATTATAAATGTCATGTTTAAAGCAGATACAGAAAAAACTCGCTTTAAAAATATGAAAGGATACAAAAATAGATTTATGCAGCGCATTCGTTTACACATTAATTACATAATTGGAGCCTGTTGCCCGTACGTTATTTTCAATGAAAATAGCAATTTTTTTAAATATACAGACTGATCTAAATACAATTTCATTTTCTTAACCCTTCTGTACCATTTTTCCCTAAATAATTTTGCGATTTAAACATTAATGAACATATAACTATCGCTACTGTATACGCATTAAGACGAAACCTCGATTGGGTCTCCGTACTTATCCTCTTAAAAAATACATTGCACAACTCGCTTTTTCTCTCAGTATTTTCTACATATTGCATTAAAATGTTTCGATGTTTGTAACCAACCGCTGTATTAAATCACCTTATACATGTAATAATATAAGTACATAGTGTTGATAATAGATGAAATGACTATATTTACAAAGCTTTATTCAGATATAAGTGCACCAATCACACGTTGTCTTTCTTTAATAATGCACCATTACAATAGATTCTTAGGACTTTATGACCCGATAAATCAGCACTTAACGACACTCCGCCAAATTTACCCCACAAACGGGCAGCACCACACTCAACAGTGTACTGAAACAGTCAGCATGCATGCAAATTCACCGAAAGTTAAAACACGTCATTTAAAAAAAGGATGGTTTCCCGTTAATTGAGAAAAAAATACTTAATGTTGCAAATAAAATATTGTAGTGTACAATATACCCAAATGGTTTGACAGCCAATACATCTATCATTCGACATTTCACATACATATACCATACACATTCCATAAACAGTGAACTGTTCAGAAAGCCTATACCATAATATGATTGCTTTTTTAAACATCAAAACGGGTTTAATTTAAGAAGGGGGCAGTTTCAGTTTTGTTTTTCGATTTTTACCGATATATTTTGTATACTGACTTGCAACAGTCATTCTATGGATGATGAACATCATCCATAGAACTTGTTCTACGATCTTCTCTCTGTTTCTATGGTAATTGCAAAAATCTTTGTCAAAATTAAGAAAATATCTTTACACATTTACGGTTCGATGGTAGAAGAGCACAGACACCATGATAGAAACGAGTGTCTTCTCTAATGCTTGCGGACAAATCAAGACAGGCATAGACAAAATTCCAAATGCGTGGTCCTCGTCTTAAATGTCTTCCAAAGCCCCATCCTCTATAACATCTCTAATCTTGTAAGGGTTAACTTTACTCCAGTTCCTGAAGAATCTTATTTGAAGCGGGAGAACCTTCTTCTTCAGCTCCAGGACTTCTTTCTTCAACGCCCATTTCTCTTTCCTGCTGGGTTCCTCTTCAATCGGTCCCTGAGTGACGGGATATCCTGTATGTTTGTCAAAATAAGAGGTGAAGATGAAGTCAAAGACCGAGTGGGAAGTAAGTTGAAGTCAATTAGTGAAGAATTTAAGTTAGATCAAAACTATAATTTCAAAGGACAGAGCTTGGAAAGGACATGCTAATGGTTTCCTTTTGGCGCTTAGAAATACAAAGAAAAGGAAACATTCAGTCCTACTAATTAAACACAAAAACTCGCAAAAGAAGGAAAAGACGAAGCTAGGCTTTACATTTTTCTGCCTGCGTGTAAGCGTTATAAGACGTTGTGACATGCATTTACCGTCCACACATGCAAACTGATTGTTTTACTTTTTAGTCTTTCCAGTAAACATTCAAAGCCTGTACATACAACTTATGTTCTGACCCGATTCATTCTGGTCCAGTGTCCACACTTCTGTTCCCGTGTACCTTCTTTTGGACCTGTAAACATCAGAAGTTTCTCTTGTGGCAAGCTCTGCTACTGTCCAGGAGATGACTGCGTTCTCGATTCGATTATAGTGGCGGAGATCATTCCAAAGCTTTCCAGCACCGACCCCTCAACATCCATCTCAAATCCGTAAACATAATCGGCTGTAAACTCCCTGCGTCATTTTGTCGACGTGAAGTCCGTTTTATCTTCCTTTGTGTTTTAGTTCAATTCACATTGCTCACAACAAAATAACAGACTTGCGCTCGCAAACTAGGAATTTTTTATGTAAATGAAAATAAGTTGTTTTAGTGAAGGAAACGGAATATACATAGTACGCAATTAGATTCAAGCATTGCCTCGTTATGCACGAGACGCGGCTCAGACCTTGGAAGAGGAGCATAGAAATGGCATAGGAAAAAAAACCCACTGCACCACAGGGAAGAGAAGGCACTGCGAAACGGGGAAGTCATCCGCCGCCAAGAAATTAAAAATAATTTTTTTGTGCAAATAAAGCAGAATTTGTTGATATGAGCTAGCATGGTGCAATTCGGTCAATTTGTCCGTACTCATATGAATCCAACCTTTCAATTACACCAGCTCTGATTGAATAAAACAACTCTCCTTGACTTGTTTTCCAACACTTGAATACCTAATTAAAAGAGAAGCCCAACTCCATCATTTTGGCCTAGGATAGTTAATTGATTTCCTTTGCAACTCAAAGAAAGTTTTTGTTTGAGTTGGGCCCTTCTTTCCACTAGGTATTCAATTGTAACCATGCAACGCAGAGTTCGCATTATTAAAACTGTATATGGTTTTGTTACTCTTGTCATTTGACAAAACGTAGCAATTCAATTATTCCATCCCGTAATCTCCATGAATTGAATCCTGGAAAGCTCAAATTGGCCATTCCTATCTGTGCAAAGTGAGCAAAGCCACCGCGGACTTACATAAAAACATCTGGATTCGTAATGCCTTTAATCAGCAGTCAGCACAGGGGTCACTGAAGCCGCCGGCGGCCATCTTTCCGCGCCAAATACAAAGGTTATACAAACGTTTGCTCGCCATTGTTAACCTCATTCATAGCATCGATTGTTGCAAAGCCAAGCCAGGGAACCATTGCATTAGTATTCGTGGCATGGTAAAATGGCTGCCAGTGGCTTCAGTAAGTACATAGGCACTGCGAGTCCAGATTTTTTTATATTCGTCCCGTTCGAGTTAATGCGCGGAAGGAGCTAGTCCCAACCATGTCAGCCACTGAAAAAACATTTACACATCGTTTGCTTGTTGAAGATATTTCCTTCTTGTCTAATAGTCAAACACCTTGTCCTCGTTTCGTTTCATGGAGATCTGTAATTCCATCACTTACACCATGAACGGTGAACGGATATCTGTGAAGTACAATAGATCTGTTTCCGGGGACAGTGCCACATTTTCTCCAGGGGCGCCTCCCTTTGTTTTCAGAGTACTAAACAATGCACTGTTCACCAAAACACATAGGTTCTTATACTGTTGCCTCTTGTCTCCGCCTACATTGGTGTGCAGTCGGTGAACAGTTCATGGTGTCAGTGATGAGGATTCATTTTGAAAGAACTTCTTCGAAGATCAATAGTAACTTACCCGTGAGATCCTGTGTCGTAACGGGGTCGGTGAACGCGGCTTCGGTCGATGGGTTCTCAAGGCAGCAATCTGTATTGGAGAAATACACGTGAAATGTGGCTGAAGTTCATAAACAAAATCCTGCATCGTCTTCAGTTACGTTACGTCAAAGGGTACCTGCAATGGAATTGTTCCAACACGGACGTCAAACTGCACCTTCATGTCTCAGTTATCCTCGTTTTTTTATTAGCATTTTACTATTCCAAGGGTCTTTTGCCATCTTTTTTGTGTTTTTTTTTTATTTGTTTTTTTCTTTGGTTTGATGCTAAAGAATAATTATTTCCATAATGACAAAAAAAAATGTGTCTTAATGTTACATTGGTTTGTGTACAAAAACCTCCTGTATTTTTCCGATTGTGCTGGCCGAAATTGTCTCTTCTTGGTGCATGGTGATTCACTGTTGTGTAAGCACATAGCATTAAGCAGGCAATCAGCCCTTTCTCAGAAATATTTTCAGAGTTCTCAGTTTGAGCAGAAAAACCCACGAGCTGAATCACGTCTTCCGTAGATGACATCACAGCAATAGCACCATAAGTTGTCTGGGAAATCGTGAATAGTTTTAACTGTTTCAAAATTACAGTTTTCAATGAATTTAAGTTCATATCAGATCATTTTTACACACTGTTCACCTACGTTTAAAGAAATATTTTCTTCAGAACCGAAACTCACTATCTAGAAAGTCCGGTACGGTAAATAAACGAAGTTATGCAGAATTTTTTCAATATTTTGTCATCTGCATAGTTGCATTTAAGACAAAAGACACCGGGAAACATTTGTTTATTGTTTGCAAAGATCTTTTCATCTCTGTCAATATATCAAACCCCACTTTTTAAATCTCAGACGTTCTGGTTCCAGGCAGCGTGTTACAAATGTCTGATCAACTTCACTCATCAGAGGCCTAAAGTCTGGCGACCGCAATGCGCCTGTTTTTTAAAAACATTTCCGAGCCAAGATGCTTACCGGATACGTTCAGCGTTCCTGTGGCAACCTCCAGACGACGCGAATTTGTTATGTACTTGAATTCTGCCTTGACAGTGCACCAGCTGTTCTTGGGGTTTCCCTGATCACATTGTATCAAAAGCGTGTCATCGTCTCGTTGGAAGGCAGGCAGCGAAGGATCGGCCACCGAGGACTCTGTCGACCTGCGGCCAACCCTGTGGCCGTTGATGATCCAGCTCACCTCGCCCAGGAACTTACATTTTTCTTCGACCCTGATGATGAGGTCACTGTCTTGGGTATTGCTCAGGAGCGCCAAATCTGGTTCTTTTTGAAAAGGGGAGAAAAGACATAAACTGAAGCCTTCATTATCTGTTGACTAGATCAGGAACAATAATAAGACATGCAAGAACTGCAATGTCCATGTTGTTTGACCTCCTACGGGGCCAGTGGCGTATCCAGGGGGGGAGGGAGAAACTTGACCTTCGACAGATTTTTTTTTCACAAATAAGGCTTCGTAGGTGAGTAGGAAAGAAAGTAATCGGTATATTTGTTTATTAAATATTAGCACTAAAACCCTCAGAAAACAACACCACAAAATAAAAGCAAGGATGTCGAGTCCTTGAGTATTAAAAGCTTTTGATTTTTCTCCCCACCATGTTACACGAGCCCGAAGCCGCATTTGCGTTTGGATTTAACCCCCCCCCCACTACAAAAGCTGGATTCGCCGCTATACCAGGCATCCATACAGCGAAATCCATTAGTTCTATACCGGTTTTGTTCTCCATTTTAAGTATACTATAGAATAGCACATTTTGAGTGTTGAAAAATAACTTCCAATTCCGAATGCTTCTGTTTGGCATTCGGAAAAAGCACAGGGTATCAATTTGACGCCGCAGCAAGAGCCTGTAACTTGCCACGGTGGGAGAGGCCGTCACAGGAAAACTCATTTGTACTTCAAACAAAAGATAGGAATAACTACGTTGTGCTGAATATTTTTAAGGAGTGTGAACCTCATTTCAGGATCAAAATTTGCGGATTTACCTAAGCAAACGGTGACATTAGCCTCATGGGGCTGATAACCAATTCCAAAACCCCTGGCAACCGTTGTCTCGGTAGGCGGACCGTCTCGCAGCATCACGCACCCGTACGTACCGGCGGCCTCCACAGTAGCAGCCGTCATGACGAAAGTGGTGTTCAGGAGACACCTCCCACCACAGCTACAAGTGTGGTATCTCTGAACTTGAACTGGCTGAAAAACACCCGTTTCGTGGTCCACCACCTTGTACAGCCAGCCTTCGTAACCCCCGCAGTCTGGTTCCGTCGAACCCATACAATGGAACTGAAACTGACCCCCCAACGGTACATCCGTGCTTGACGGGATAAGTAAAACACCTGTTACGGCTGTAGAAAGAAAGAAAAAAACGCAACTTCATATTTTTAAGCTCAAAAGACGCGGATAAAGAGCGCTGCATTTAAAACTGAGAAACGGTCGGCCTTCTTAAAATTCTTGGTATTACATATAGCTGTGTAACAAAACATTAATCAAAAGGATGAGGGTTAGGCCTTGTTTTTTAACTCTAATTTTTTTTTTACATGAAAAGAAAAGCCAGCATTTGAGATCGTTTAGAAAATTGAGTAGTCGATACGGTTAACCTTTCCTCCTAGAATTTGGTAACAAGAACAATAGATATACAAATACGGAAGACAAATTCGAGCACAGGGAAAGACAAAAAACCTTATCCAGTGGTGCACTTCTCATGGAAACACCTCAATGCTCCGTGCAAACTAAATGTCAACAATACGACTTATGCGTCGTGATACAATACTAACTTCCTTTACTGCCAGTGTTTTAGACTATTAACTGTCAGGTGAAAATGTGGCAACCAAAATAAATCAGTGATTGTCTATAGCTTCGCTGCAGTTGCGATGATCGAACTCTTGGTCATGGTCTCCTTTGGGAGGACAACCAGTGGCGTAAATTTGTGCCTGAAATGGGGGTTGGGTATTGGGAATTAGGGGGGAAGACTTGCCGGCCATGGAAAGTTGAAAAGCGGCCGGGTGCGGGGAGGGGGGGTTGACACCAAATGACACTATATCGGGGGCGCTGTTGTTGATGCAGATGTATACATCAGTGGTGTGTATTACATAAATGCAGAATTTTACACAGCGGCGTATCCAGCCTTTGATGTTGGGGGGGAGGGATTCAAAAGTCAATGCAGGTTCGGACTCATTCAACAGATGACGGGCGAGAAAAATATCACAAACCTTACTCGCGTCCCAACATCCTTGCTTTTATTTCATGGTGTTGTTTTCTTAGGGTTTTGATACTAATATTTGATAAATAAATTACCGATCACTTTCTTATACTTATGAAGTATTATTCCTTTCAAAAAGCCGTTGGGGATCAAGTTGCCAACCCCCCATGGATATGCCACTGATCTTACATTTGAATGGCATATTCATGGCTTTTTATTGTTCTCACTTAAAAAACATTTGTAGGAATTCCGAGAAATTCTACAAAAATCCGCTTTAACTTTTTTTTTTAAAAATGGGAGGGGGAATGATTCAATAGCCCACCCCAGGTTCAAAAAGTGGGGAATATATACCTCCATCCCTGGCATTTATGCCTACGAGGAAAACGATCGAGTATCAATCGATGACATTTATTGCAACAAAAATGCTACAGGGGATTGACACTGTTGCTCAACTCAGAGCTTGACATTATAAAAGACATTCCAATGCAGAAAGCATGCAGCCTCACTCCACGAGCAAGACAACCTGTACCGATGGGCATCGTCAGGATTTCTCCAGGGGATGAGCAAACTCTTTTCACGGGGGTGGCTTCCGGGGGTAAAGAAATCATCAGCTACGAACTGATAAACTACTGAGAGGGGGTAAGTCTGGGGTTTTTCTGTTTTATTTTGCTTTGCTTAACAAACATATTTGCGTTGTTCCTTAATACCTTTTAGTATTTTCTTTCTTGAAATTTCCTCGGTTTTTTCCCCATTTTTTCTTTTTATTCCGGGGCAGGACACGCGCCCCCTTGCCTCTTCGCCATGCGAAGCCTATGCCTACTAAACTATCACTCAAACGAAGGCCGTGGCTGACAAGCTTGGGCATGCGTGATCAGTTCCAACGAAACATGGCAATTAAAAACTGACCAGGTGAGAGAGCTGCCGTTAATGCAATATGCACACGGTGAATTATTTCACTGATCCGTGAATTCTCCCAACCCATCCAGGGAAAACCAGCAAGCCTAATGTTAAAGAGCCAATAGCGAACGCCATCAGACAAAAATATAACGTCTGGTTAAGCAAAAGAAAAACAGACATTTTTGAACGATCCTTTTCCCAGATTGATTTCAATCCCTACAGCAATAAATGATGAAAGGAGCCCCTTAACATTACACGAATCCAAATGTAAGCCAGTAGTTTGCTGAAATGAACGTACTCTACCTTCAACACATGCCTCTAAATATCAAACATGCAATCAAACTGAACTGGTCTGTTTTGTAAATGGCGACATAAATATTTAGTATTGGCAGTAAGTGCTCTGTGGGGGTTCGGTTTTATTTTGTTTATTTTGATTTTTGTGCCACGAAGGTGGGAAATTAGGAAAGAAACTTCAACGAAAACAGCAAGTACGATTAGCTACAGAAGATAATCATGAATCAGCTGCCTGGATTACTGTCATAAATCAATACGGCAAGCCGGATTTCTTAGTTCACAGCAAAAAAAGGAAAGTCTTTTAACACTACATAATGTTAAACATTGTGGTATCTATTAAAAGTACAACGCAATGGGCTATACTAAATCCTTGGTATTAATTCAACACTATAGATCTGTAAAATTTAGTATGAAGGCAATATAGTTCATTTCATGTTACATGTTTACGATTATTCAAAACTCATCCAGTCTTTCCCTATAAGCACATTTCAGCATGCATACAGCTATACAGAGAGAAACCATGATGGCCACATGCATCATGCATACTCTGGACCACATGAACTTACTATTATTCAACTGTTCTGTTGAGCGTGGACGGCGAGACCGCTCACGTGCGGGTGGCCAGTCCTCGCCACTACCTTCAATCTCTGAACACAACCATAAACACACAAGCCAAAAATGCATGACTTTGCAGCGCACTTGATGGAAATATTCTTATGGTCCTCGACTTTAGTCAAATTGTACTCGAATTATCCGACCAACTATATTTATGCGCACCGCCCATTGCCCGGAAACACTGGCGAACATTTCAACCAGATCTTTTCAGATGTACAATCACTCCGCTTCTTCGAACTACGCGCTTGGTTTTGGCTTGCTCTCCAAAAGCTATGGCGATACACGTAGCTGTTCATTACACATGACCAGAGAAAGCTTCGTAAGCACATTACAATGGCAACGCAGACAGAGCAACGCGGTTTTCACATCTCCGTAAAGTGCGCAATTGCAAAGCGAGGCCTACAAGTTTGATTATCATGTACTCATTATCGGCATAAGGCCCACTTGGTATGAAATAAATCCACAGATTCTCTGCTAGTAAATACATTTCAAACCCAGAACCTACCTGACAGATTGACCGACTGAACCATCCATCCCAGCAACGCAAAACTCAACAGCAGTGTATGAGGTGCGAATGTCTCCATTGTCTTGTTCAGTGTGTGACGTGTTTCGAACTGGTAGAACACAGCGAGTCGAGCCTTAGGAGGTAGAGCCTATTGCGTGGTTAATTCGATATGCAAATATATCTAGGAACACAGCTGCCTCGTCTGGTTCACTGCGCTTCTCTAGCTGCCGTGTGTCTGGAACATCTGATCTCCTGACCTGGACTTTCGCCTATTTATCGACAGAAATGCGAAGAAGGGACGGTCCCTTTTGCGAACGGAAGAGTCTATTTCAGGAAAACCCACACAGCGTTGGCAATGATGTCATCGATGTCAACAAGGCGCTCGCCGGCGTGGAAAAAATAGAAAGTGGTTACCCTTCATTTCCATTTCTCATCAGGAAATAAACTGATGTTTTGGCTCGCGTATGTGTTGATTTTTGAAAAGATCTTCCTCCTTGCTGTGATGTGTATCCTCATCGCCACTGCCAAGAGAATGGAGAGAAAATGTTGGAGGAATTAAAAGACAAACGGGGTTTATAATCCAGTCGTGACTACACGTAATGCGTGCAGTTGAAACACTGCCAAGGGGAAACCTCATGCGTGACGTATTGTTTGGCTACATTCCCATTTATTACAACTGACTTTAAAATTGGGTGAGACCAACACATTTTGGAAAATTTTCCCCGCTATTAGGCCTACTAGTTTAATAGGGAAATTAGTAAAGTGGGAAATGAATATTGGTGACGTTTCCTTCAAAAGTCCTTTGCTGTTTCTCTATCTGTGAAATCAATGAATGATCTGCGGGATCTGTTTGTTTTCCCAGTCATCCCACTTTCGATCAGTGTCTTCAACCCCCTTGCTATACCACGAAATGAAGCTGTGCCCCCTTTCACCCACTGTCAAACGCTGACAGTGCACCTAATGGGGGCCGTCCATAAGGTACGTATGCACGAAGGTGGGGGAATTGGTGCCGTTGCGTACACCATGCGAATAGAGGGGGGGGGTTCAAGCCATTGCGCACCGTACGCAAACCGAAAATTTGCCTTTAATGAATCTTCCTCATATCAATACACTTTCCTCATACAAATAAATAACAGAACCAGCGTTTTCTCGTCGAAAAAGCAGTCAAACGCTCTATCCCCCACCATCCAGCCCACCATTATCCTCCTGTGCCAACCCCCATGATAATTAGTAAATCGCAACAGTATGACACAACGACCAGCAGCGTCTTCCAGAAACGTGCAGGTGCCCTCTACGCACCTAAGAGAAAAAAAGCACCGGGATTATTATTATTTTTTATTCAACATCTTTTTTATGCTGCCAGGTAAATGTTTACCAGAGCCATAAATACCGACATAAAAACCTGTTATTACCTTGCTCATCTTTTCAAGAATTTGGAAGCAACGTGCAAACAGCAGTACTACAGTAGATGTACAATGTACTGTGACATTAAAGCTAAAGCAAAGTACCCTGAGAAGTTAAAAGATATATGCATATATATGCATATGGGGGGGGGGGGGTTGGAGCCATTGCGTACGCGATGTGTACAGGGGGGTGGAGGTCTTAAAAGTCGGAATTTCGTCAGTACGTACTTTGTGGACGGACCCATGATCGGACCCCTGACCCGTTGGCTGCGCCCCGACAGGAACGTGACGATTGCCAGATTATGCTATAGGGCAGTATGTTTCCTTTGGCTCACAACACCATCCCACGATCATAAAAAAAGTGTGTAGATGCGGACCTTCATCAAAAAGATCTCACTGAGAGGGCCTTTTTTCATCTGTTTTGCGGAATTTGGGAGATATTTTGCCTTTTTGTCATCCTTTTGAATCATTTTCCGTCATTTGCCATGCAACGGTACTTTAAAAAAACCTCCATGGATAATGAAAAATCATAGGTACCATTTCGGAAAAAAATTGGGAAAGTACTTGGGATGTGCAGCCCCCCAAAAAACTTTTCCGTTTGCTTTTCAAATCGGAAGAGGGGAAGGGGAAGACGCAAAAGGGAACAGCACTGAGATTAAACTTCGATTAAAATATACACAATTCAGCTGTCATCAATTTTCACTTCCGTGTGGAACTGTCCAGGCCATTTTGAACCAGGCTGCACTGATGGTGGTATCATCAAGGATCCCCTTCATTGTTATTTCCTTGAGAGATTTCCAGCATGTTCCGGCCAGGGAACTAGAATGTCTCCTGTCATGATGTTTGTTTAAGGGTATCTAGGTACGATGATCTCTCGTAGAGTACAGGTGACAGTGTTAGAGATGCGAGCAATGACCTCCAGGTAACGTAAACATCGAGCACGACTCTTATACCTTTACCGACAGAGCAACATTTTTGATTAAAGGGTAAATGTTTCACAAAATATCCATATCCATGTCTGACGTAGGTCATTCGAGGCTGTCACAAAGCCTTTTAAAGAGTTAGATGACTTTCAAGAGCAAAGATTTTTTTGGATCAGGACAATGGGCCTTATATTATCCCCTAATTTTTAATAACCAACAAAACCCCGTTGGAAAGGAGAAAGAAAAGGTGACGTGGAAGAAACATTCCTTGGTACTGATCAATAATGAAATGTAAATTGCACATTCTGGTCTGAGTGGAATTGTCGGAAAGAGAGCTGAAAATGTGATCCGTAATTAACATAGCCTGTATCCATCCCTGGCACTGGTGCCTTGAATGCTTCATGCTCGCCTGGGTCTCGAGGGGAAAAAATCGGGTATCTCACCCACGAAAAACCCCTGAATGTTGTTGCCTCTGCTGCCCGATTTGCATCAATCTCACGTTGACTCACATGACCTCCTCGACGTTTCTCAGGTTTCATACCGAATAAAACAGTGATGTTGGCACTAGGCCTATCTTATCATGATATTTCAAGCAATATCAACTTGAGCAACTTCTGTTCTTGGACTAATGCCAAGATTAAAAAGACTGCAGCTCGCACAATTTCTGCGAAAACACCAAATGTTCAGGTTAAGGGGCCGTCCATAAAGTGCGTACGCACGAAATGCTGACATTTCAGACCCCCCCTCCCCTGTACGCATGGCGTACGCAGTGGCTCCAATCCCCACCCCCTGTATGCGTGCGCGTTCCACAATTCGGGATAGACGCTGCCGATCTTTGTGTCAAGTAGACTTGATGTTGCGGTTTACTAATAGTGGGCGTTGGCACGGCAGGATAAATGGTGGGGTGGATGGTGGAGAATGCTGTGTTTGAATTTCGACGCACAAAACCTGATTCTGATAGTTATTTGTATGAAGACGCGTGAAGATTCATTAAAGGCAAATTTTCGGTTTGCGTACAGTACGCACTGGCTTGAACCCCTCCCCCTCCCCTTTGTGCGTACGTACTTCCTGGAAGGCCCCCAACACCCAGTACCCTGACACCAGGGCTCAACTCTCAGATAATAAGACTAAACTGAAATACTCGTGCGTTGCCAAAAGGGCTGACTTTCAAATCATCAAGTAATGCGGTTGCGCGTCAAGTTCGATCAACGATCGCTGATAGACTAGACCCATTTGCCTGGTTACCAGGACATTTCATTTTGTATTAAAACGGGCCTCTGAGGTCATGAGGGCTTTTTGGATCTAGAAATTATTGCAGGTGTTGTTTCAGACCTGCAATTCTTAAAGGGAACCTAAGATGTGCGTTTTTCAAACAAACATTTTTATAACCCCTTAAAAAGCTTAACAATTTTCTTCCACCATCCCTCAGCAAGGAATTTATTTATCGACCGTGAAGCTGGGAATGAGAAGCAAGATGTACCCTAAGTCGTGTTGCTCACGAGGGAAAGTACCTTGCGTTTCCTCAGCTTGGCAATATGAATAAATTCATCAATCGTCGTTTGACTTGAAGGCGAAGGAGTCACTCGATCTTTTTGCATTCTTGCAAAATCTAAACGGTATTTGTTGAACATGCTGGACATGACCTACTCTGTCAATTAAGTGTCGACAGTTAATTTTAATATCTTCCTTCACAATGAATTTCAAAACAAATAGAGCCTTGACATGAAGGGGGAATATAAGTCTTTAACAAAAACTCACAGATAGGACTTTCAAAGGGATTTGGGTGTCAATATTGGCTACACACATATAGGGGAGAGAACGTGCAATGGGCTAAAAGACCATTCCGAATATAAGTTTTCACGGAAAGAGAACTTGTGTCTCTAATTATCTTATTCTTGTCGTATATATCTTATTCATTTCTACACACAAATCCTGTCAGTGATTTTGAGCTAGTAACTGCATTGATACAAACAAATGCAATTTTTTTTAATTAGTACACCGCCTTTATATTGTGTCTCATGTTGCTAGATTTAGGTTGGTTGACGGTTAATCTGGGCATTTTGGAAACCCCCATCTATCTGATAAGAAATCTAGCGGTGGATGCGGAGATGAAGCAACTGCAATTATAATTTTCCGTCACAGCCCGGTGCGTTGAGTCGTTGATTGAGGGAAAGTCCCTTAGCATCCCACGGAGAGCCGTCAAGAAGCCTAAACGACGCCAAGAAATAAAGGGTCCTCGGACATGGGCTTTAGATTTTATGAAAGGCAAATTTATCATTACCTTCAAGCATAAGCATCTTTATATTTGCGGCCAGAGGATAGGATAACTTGGCCTCTTTCTGTTTCTTAATTTCTTATTCATTAGCGGCACTTCGTTTGTAGTTAGGAATTTTCAGTGAAACCTCCTGTGAACGTATATGCACGTTTTGTCGGAGAAAGCATTTTGCAGTGTTAGCCCTGTGTGTCATCAAAATCTAAAGAGAACATTTCGGAGAAATGCAAAATTGGTGTCTCCCCTTGAGCTCGCCGTACCTTAAACTCACAAAGGCTAGCTGGCACAAGATAACTGTTTAAATCTGGAAAAATGGGAATCTAGCCTATTCAGGGATACGTAGGGCCAAACTGAAGTAGGGGCACCTTCCACCCTATTTGATAGACATTGTGATTTTCACCCTTCCGTCTGCCCCCCCCCCCCGGTGGTATGTTTCTCTTGGCGTCAAATGGTCAAATCACCTTGGATTGGCAATGAAAACAAGTCAAGGGACAATTGTTTGCCCTCTGGTTATCGGTTTGTTTGTTCTAGAGGAATTTCTATTTAATACAACCTGGCAGGCTCCAGGACTATAACACGGAAGTGCACCAGAAATGGTACGGTTTATATTCTGTTGGTGTCCTGTCTGGTCCTTTTTTCTCATTCTGTCTGAATTTTGCATACTATAGGCTACAAAAGTTTCTTCTGGTCGATATACCAGAGCAAGTCTGAGGGCTATTATGGTCAAACTATATAGACAGTCCTCAAATTTGTCTCATTTATTCCAACTTAGTCCCGTTCATTGAAGGCCAGCCACAATACTTAACCTCATGTTTGACCTTCAGAGAATTCATGATAAGCAAATTCGAGAAATTTGATTTATCAGTAAAATGGTGAATGGTGAATGAACCTTCGTATATTTCGGTTAACACACTTAGTCTAAAGTGTAGACTTCCTGTTTAGACTTTAAACAGGAAGAAACATACAATACAGGAAAACAATCTCTACTGATGGCTCACCGTGACCTGCTTCGGAAAGAAACATTTGTTTATGTAATTATGTAGGCTTACAGATCGGAGACCACACAATAAGCAATGACTAACCTTGAACATTCTGGGTTACTTCAACAATGAAACTCAACAAGGTCATGACTATACAGAGAGCTGTATACAGAAAGAGGAGCGCCAGCTTCAGATTTTGGAAACAAAACGGCCGTTCACTATATGCGTACAGTAGAGTGTGTAGCCGTGATTGTATATCAACTATCTGAATGCCGGCAGTGGTGCTGCACCTACCAGTTATGTTTCCAACAATGGTGACATTCATGTCACAACTCTCTCCGCACACGGGTCTGGGGCTACACACGCTGAAACGTCTCCAGATTCAATTAAACTTAACAGTTAGTCATCAGAGTATCCTGTTTAAAAATTCGGATGGAAACATAATGGGGCAAGTTCGATTAAGGACCATGGTTCCCCTAGTAGTCCGACTAACTCTGATCGAACGCACGCCAGTTGGCGGTGGTTGGGCTAGTCTAGTCAACTATTTGCGACCAGCCTATCGAGGTTGGTCGCATCGTTGGTTGCCATAAACTAGTTTTAATAGCACAGAGTACCAGTTTATGAGAAAAATGTCAGAAAACAGTATGTCACTAGCTAGTGAACTACCATTTTCACATTTATTTTGGCTATTTTGCCCTTCCTGTGGCCCCCTTTTCTCCCCTTCGGCCTAATGACCTGAAAACGGTTGACTAGGGTGGCTCGCACTTCAACTTCCTTGCATGCGCATGGTACGTCACGAACTGACCACTAGTTAACTAGTGGTGCTTGATCGAACTTGGCTATGTTTGAGCACATTTGTGGCTCACAAAAACAGCACGACGGTCCCCTTCCTGAGAACTTCAATCTGCTTGTATGTCAGTTTTGGTTTCTGGTCAATCATGGCTTGGATACAACAAAGAAAAGTGTCATATTTTGTTGTGCCAATTTGCTAGCTATAAACAGGGTTTAATTTGTGCTTTAAATTGAGTAAAACAAACATACTATTTAGTTTTTCTTTTGTATTTATTTTTTGCCTCTGGCATGCTTCATATTTGGTATGCAAAGGGTAAAACAATACCCAGTATACTGCAGTACTGACACAAGTTCCAGCTCATGTACAGGCAAAACACAACCTAAACACAATTAGCTAAGATGTGGATTGAAGAATCATTTACCCCACACATGTGTCATAATTATGACACCCTACACATCAACAACTTTTATTTTTACACGAAATGCGCGATGTAAACGGGTTCACGTGTCAATTTTTTACGAAACAATGTACACTGCATGCGCCGCAGAAAAGTGCCATGTTTATTATTTAGAGACACATTTCAATACATGAACATCACGTTTTTTGTTCTTCAGCGACTATGCAAAGATACCGTATGCACATAAAATCCTTACCTCCTATAGCTATAAACTGTAGGCACAGCAATGTATTACTTCTTACTTTGTTGTTTTTCGTATCGAGAGTTATAAAGTCTAATCATGGAGATTTGTAATCTGTATGAACAAAACTAATATCACTTCTGCCCAAACCCAATGGTATATGTATAATGTACTAGCATTAGGGCATTTTCAGCCGAAGTTCTAAGGCCTAAGCCACGTGCCACAACACTTCTCTTATTCTACTGACTTTTCAAACTCATCGACGAACCCTGTTTCATTTTATCCCTAACTTGTCATGGTCTCTTGATTGTTGAGAAATATTATCTCCAGCACTTTAGACTGAAAGAAGAAAGCTGACTAAGACCGAAAGGATCAAAATGTAAAGAGCTCGTTGCAATGAATAAAATCACACAAAAGGAATGGTAATATTTGATTGGTTAAAGCCAATTTCTGAAATATTACAAAAGTATTAGGAAAATGCGGTCAAGATGATAATTTTATACAGAAATACTTTGTAAATTTCGACTGATTGTTTCAAGTGTAATTTAGTGATGTACACGAATTGTGTGACTACGATCAAACGTTTACACTTACCATTTTGCAAAAGTTGTTATAGGTTAGAATTACCGACATGATGGGCACTAGTCACCAAGTGCTTCGATTCATGACGGACAGTTATAACATTAACACTGACCAAATAACCAGTCTTTCCTTCCTTCATTTCTGAAAGGGGGGGGGGGTTACACGGGGGCGAGGGCACAAGCGTCGAGTTGGGGGGGTGCCTCCGTGCTCCCTCCATGCCCTACTGCATAACTAGTCTGAGAGTCTACATATATTTCAACAGATACTCTATATTAGTATTTTTGATCACCTCTAAAAGTGGACCAGTCTGTATAGTTTTAAAAGGCATGATGTACGTACGTCATTAGCTTCTGAACTATAAGTCTATTTTGGAGGACTTCGAGTTTTGTTGCTAGGTACGTAGCCCGGTTTCACTGTAGAAACTGTCTTCTTGCTATGAGTCGTCATGTTGCTGAGACGTTGCTGACATTTTGTCACAGTTTGGACAGTGTTGGTGAATAATTTCTCACACGGCACTATTATTATACAGTACAGGAACATTATACAGATGCTGTTGGTAAGTCTCTGCGGACATGTGATATTATCTTACACAGTAATTTGGGGTTAGTTTCTTGCTTTGTTTCACTGTTGGATTTCATATAACACTCGCGTGCAACTCGCGTGTGTGTTTTAAAGTGACTCAATTTTGTTTGTATGCCGTGCAGAGAGGAAAAGTGACAGGATCCGCCTCCTTATGTCCTGACCGCTCAGGGAAAAATTAGGACGATTGAAATAGAATTAGAAATCTGTATTTTGGAAATATGACGAGAAAGATTTGGTTGGGGAGTTGTACCTTTAATTGGGAGGAGCCTAATCCATGGCTTATTTGTACAGCCTCTCAAGTTTTGATTTGTAGAAAAGAATATTAAATTGATTCATGTGAGACCCTCAGTACTGGCTTCTGTCTTCATTTTAATGAGAAGTGTTTGGCCAGGTGCAAGTGGACCTACCAGATCACCCATGGCAACACTATCCACGATACAAAGTCGGACTCCAGAAAACATGTACCCTAATACGACCGGTAATTCCCATGTCCTTAGTGACTTTCATTAATAAATTTTCGGTTTTTTTTTACATTCTTAATCTTATTGCGGTGCTAAAGATGTTAATAGTTTTCACGAGTTCTCAATGTTGGAAGGGCTTAATAACTTTTGATTTCCTCTGTCGTGATTGTAAATTTTCTTACTCATTATACGGTTAGATAATGGCCAAAAGTGTAGATACATGTACTAAGAAATAATCGCCATGCACGCGTTAATAAAACACTGCTCATGCAGACACACAGTGAAAAAAACGAAGAAGAAAAGACATCTTCCCTGGTACGTCTCAGATGTCGTCTAATGCCCCACTCTCCATAGCATCCCTAATCTTCTTGGGGTTGACACGACCCCAGTTCTTGAAGAATCTGATTTGGAGTGGAAGAAGTTCCTTCCTCAGCTCAAGGACTTCCTTCTCCAGCGCCCATTTCTCCATCTCGCTGGGTGTCTCTTCAATCGTTCCCTGGGTGGTGGGATGTCCTGCAAAGTTTGTCGAATAAGGGGCAAAGATGACGTCAAAGATCAAGCGGGACGATGTTTAATGAAGCCCATTAGTGAAGTTTAATTTTGATTCGACAGGCATCAAGTGGAAAACTCCTGCTTATGATTTTTGTTTGTCACTTAAATATAAAGGGAAAACATGGTCCTTAGTTTTCATCTTGGGGATGGCAAGTATCCTGACGACGGACAGATCATACGGTACCCTCCAGCTCTTGTCAGATCCACGTTTACTCATAAAAGAGAAACTTTAGCATGGTGATACCACAGACCTATTAAGTTTAATCCCTAAAAAGCTCTGCGTTAAAAACTTCCTGTCTGACTGTATAAACGTTAAGACGTTAATGTAACTGCCGCACAGTTAGCATGCGCAGAAGGAACTAGTCGGAAACACACTGACAAAATATGTTTACACATCTAGTGCCAATAGTCCATCCAGATTTTTATCAAACCAACATATGTAATTACATCACTGGTATTACGAACGGTGAACGACAGAAATAGCGTATCTGAGATATATTTCCGGGGATGGTGCAACGTGGAGCCACATTTTCTGTAGGGCATACCCCCCATGCATGGTTCTTTTAAATGATTCGGTTCTCGGCTGTGGCACTGCCTTTGCATCTCCGTCAACACTTGAGGTGCAAACCTTGCGAGTCCGTAGTGTCAGCGAGGATTCATTTTACAAAGTTCTAAGTACTTGTGTGGAGATTATGATAACTTACCTTCAGGACGCTGTGCCTGGAAGAGCTCGATGGGCGGGGCTTCGGTCGATGAGAACGAAAGGCAACAGTCTATATTGCAGTAATGTACAGGAAATGTGGTTAAAATTTGTAAACTACACAATGTGAAAAACATGATGCCATTGGTTATATATGTTTAAGAACTGAATTATATGGCTTCTATATATCACGCACCCACGCGGTCTTGGTGAAAATCATCAGTAAAAGACTTGACAGCTTGTATCAAACTTCTTGCGTGATGGGAGGGGAAGCTTCTTTTTTTCGGAAATTTTTCAGGGAATTTTTTCAAAAACTGAATTTTGCCATCTACTGTACCCTAAATTGAAGACAAAACTTTAGTTGAAGTTATGTAGACACAGATTTCAATACGGTCATCTGTCATCGCAATGGTCGCATGCATTTCGGACAGAAAAGGACACTTAGTCTTGGTGTGCACTCCCCTTACTGTTTGTCCTGGGATATTGACCTATCAGTAATAAAACCTTTTTGTTTCAGTTATAAACATTCTGGATATACACTGGCAAG